AAATGTTCTGAGTAGTTAGGCAGAAGAGCTCATGTTCCCATCTCCTAAGGAGCAGCTGAACGTCTAGCGAGCTGATCCAGAAGGAGCCCACCAGCATCCTCTTAGGGGAGGATGGGGTTGCTGGCCGTCGGGGCACAGGCAGTGCACACAGTGGTAAGAGCTACTGTGCTAAAGGTCCAGCTCTGTCGCCCAGTGTCATGCAGCTGGGGAAAACCATTAACCTCCTGTGGCTCCGTGTTGCCGTCCCTCAGAGGAGCAGTAGTGCCTCTTTTGGGACTGTTATGGGTGTCAAATGCAGACACACAAATAGTCACCTGCCAGGAGACTTTGGGAGTCCGGCTCTTCTACCCTCACTAATTCTTCACTGCTCCTGTGAGGTAGTGCATGTGGTATGTCCGTGGTACAGGCCACTTTTTTCTTTCCTATTATTGCAGTTGCTAATCAAACACCGTCATCTTTGCAATAGAATTGAATACCTTTTCAAATTTGTGTATTTACAAATCAGAAAGATATATCAACATCCATTTATTTCTACAATTAAAAAACCACCTCTCCAGTACCATCTCAAACAGTGGTCTGACCACTATGTAGTAGTCTTTCATTTTCTGAAACATGGGAGCGCATGCTCGGCCCACATCCTCTTTGGCCTGGTGACGCCCGGAGTGGTTTCGAGTTGGAGAATCACTCCTCTCGCTGTTTCTTCTCTGCTTTCTAAGTGGCTCTATAGTTGTTTGCCCATAGCCCATTTTAGTTGCTGGAAAGAACAGCAGTAACTCAGTCAGGACTAGATGTTGAAAGAACCCAAGGTTGTATCTTAGATATGTCTTTTATAGACCAGTTACTACAAAGCCAGTGCTTGTGTTTATAAAGTTGGAATCCACGATGTTCTGACTGTACCAGACTCTAGGGTAGAGGAAAACAATCCATGGAAATCTTTTGGCTTTCCAGTTGTAACCATGGAGTCTAAATTATTTATAACAATCTCACCCAAAGAAGATAAAATCAGCCCTATAGCATTTCAAAAAGCTCACATGAGCATTAAGGTCTCACATGTAATAGCAATTAAAATGAGATTCGTGACTGGCTGACAGAAGCACAGAGAGCCCTTGGGCTTAGCCACTGAATCAGCTCTGTTTTCTGCATTCAGTTTCCTCCCCCGGAAGTGGCTGGACCAGACCTTCTCCAGCCTCCATACTAGTGAGCACCTGGGCTGGCACCTCATGCCAGGTGACACCTTTCTGGAACCTACTACTGTGCAGCTTTGCTAGATGACAGACTTAAAAGAGAAAATGACAAAGATGGAAACTGATAATACTTTAGTATTCTCTTTAATCTTCTATGTAAATAATTATGCTTTTTTGATTAGAACATAAACTTGTCCTTTAAAATGATTTTCTGGGAGGGTCATTTGAGGGCCAGGAGTTCAAGACCAGCCTGGGCAACATAGTGAAAATCCATCTTCACAAAAAATAAAACATTACCTGTACATGGTGGTGAGCACCTGTAGTCCCAGCTACTCGGGAGGCTCAGGCAGGAGGGTCTCTTGAACCCAGGAGTTTGAGGTTGTAATGAGCTAGGATGACACCACTGCACTCCAGCCTGGATGACAGAGTGAGATCTTGTCTCTAAAAAGTTAAAATTTAAAAGGTTTTTAAGTAAAAAATAAATATACAATTTTATGATAATTTTTTTATTATACATTTTCCCTATTTGCTAGAACATTAAATACTATATAGAAACTAGCCAAATTAACTCACAGAATTTTTGTGGTTGGAATATTCATTTTGTGGATTATCTTTATAATTTTCTAGCACAGAAAATTCTGGTCCATTTCCTACTGCCCACAGCCACGTGTGATTCCTTTCATGATTGCCTTCTGCAAACATGTAACTGGAAGGGAAAATTGCCTGAGCATGTGAAGCCAGAGAGAGATTTCTGAAAGCCCACTATAAAGGGTTGTGAATTCTGCAAGAGGCTCATGCATGGCAGACACTTAGAACCTGCTTGTTGGTGGACTGACTGGCTGTTCCCATCCGTTAGTCCCCATTGTTATGAGTTGGCTTCATTGCAAATGTATTTTGAAATAGTTAATTATGGTAACTCAAGACGTTCTCTTGGCCTACAGAAACTTTTGGTCACTCAGGCGGCTCTCACCAGCCTTTCATTCCCAGGTTTACCACAGTCAGGACAGAGCCTCAGATGCCACTGAGAGTCACCGACTTTGGAGGAGAGCCCACTCGTAGAGCATGCTGCACACTCAGATGCAATATGCTTCCCCTCGCCGTCCTCACTTTGACTTGGCAATCGAGCTGGCTTCCTGGGCTTCTGCGCCAAGGGCCCGTGATGAGACGTGCACGGCCCTCACCACACAGGGACCTTGCGTGGCACATCCTACTTATGCGGTTCTTGGACGAGAGCTTTGAGAAGGGCCGGCCAGTTTTACCATTCCCCCTTTGCTGATGAGCTGTGGGAGGCTCTGGAAATGCAGGTCGCCAGCATCACACCCTTAGCAAGCCCCAAAGTCACGGTGGGGCCGAGTTAGAGAACTTCCAATTCCACAGCAGTCTCACGTGAAGACTGCAGTTTGCTCTTGCTGCGCTCTATCACTGTGGTAGAACCTAGAGCTGGAAGGTGTGCTGGAGGCAGCCGTCAGCCTCCCGGTCACCAACAGGGAGGGCCCTTTCTTGGCTGGCTCTGAGGCCATATGAAGAAGCTAGTCTGTTTTTGCTTTAATCTCTTTAGGGGAAGGTAATTTAGAAATTGAGTGGGGAGATGAATAGATATCTGGTTGTCAAAAAGGTGCGCTGTACTCCTTGCCCGTGTGATGCCGAAGGGAAAACACTGAGGTAGATGAATTGAAGGTAACCCCGAGATTTAGAAGGTGAACTAGAGTCTTGTAAACAGACGTCCATAAAGTGCGGGCCTCTGTCGTTGTCCCAGCGCAGGCTTTGTCGTGGTCTCAGACGCAGGACACCGGTCAGGCAGGCCTTTCTTTTCTCGTTTGCCACTTTTGGTAACTGGCTTCTTTTCCAAATTCTTCAGGATGACATGGTGATTTCCATTAAAGAAATTTAGTAGAAAACCATGAAAATAGTAAGTCTTTCCCATGGTTCCTTCTTCAATACAGCGTTCACAGTGCTTCAGCGCAGTGCCTGTATTTTCTGGGTTTCAAGTCACCCTGTCTCAGTGTAGCTAGAACACACCAGGGCCGCCGTGCAGAGCTGACACCCTTGCCTATCCTGCGAGACTTCTCTGATCACAGCCCACGAGTATGACAAAGTGCATAAATTGAGAGGAGAATATAACTTTTATGTTTCCAAGTATTCATTAAGACAGGATTGACTTCAGTTCCTCAGAGCTTGAACTCTAGGCCAGTAGTCAGGAGCACGCTCGAGATTTGTACGTCCACCGCATCTGGTTGCATCACTGGTTTCATTGTCTTTCTTTTTGCTGTTCTTTGAGAATACTTTTATCACTGTGATAAAGAAAATGATTTATTGGAATTATCCAGAAGAGAGACAGTGTTTGTTTCATATAATTAGCGATGCTCTATGACTAATAAATGGCAAACTTGATTTGCTGAAGTTTAGAAAGGTGTATCAGATTTAAATATTTCTTGATTCGATGCAGGATAGCAAGGATATTATTTTCTCTTACTGATATATTGCGCTCCAAATTTTTTTCTCAAACAAAAGCCTTTTCTGCATAAAATCCATAAAGAGAACAGCAGAGGCACCATGTCTCAGCTCTTAATCAACGAGTATTTTCTATTAGTCAACATATCTCATTTCTTCATCATTAATAAACTTTAAAAATTCTTCTTACTCTGATTTTTTTAGTCATGGAAACAAAGAACAGATGTAAAAATGGTATGCAGTTAACCAAATTCAATCTAATGGGGTGAATAGATTTAAGAATCCTATTGTTATTACCTTTGTTTTGCAATATACATCATAGCAGCTATATAGGATGGTGAACAGAGGTACAAATCCCAAATGTTCCTTGAGTGTTAAACAGAACACATTTCAGATGTAACATAGGGGTTTTAGGTCATTCTTAACATGGTCTTTTTAAAGAGTTTTTCTGGATACTTTTTTGAGATTGAGTATAACACTTATTCACAATCATTTCTACCAGCTCACCATAATTTTCCCAAGGCTACGACAGGGGTGACTATGACAGCAGCGTGTGGGGTTAGATGCTGTGTGGTGAGCGCTGCAGTGGCGAACACGCATCCCAGCCCTGCCTTTCACAGGCGCTTGGTCGCTGCGCACTGGCTCCCGCCACCCTCAAACCTGTGGCGACGCACACAGAGGAATCAGAGCCCATCAGACCTGCTCTCCAAACCTTCACTTAGAATTCCTGCTGCTTCACTGTTGATCATGATGTGTCCAGTATTAGATTCCAGATAACTCTTAATGTGGTCTCAACGTGTGCCGAGGATGCTGAACTCCAAGGATGGGTGGCATCCCTGCTGATCCCTCAGAAACCGCGGGCTTTCTTCTGTGTCGCCTGAGTATCCCAGTGAAATAGACAATCTAAAAGCGATTGCTGCAAACATCTGTTTAAGAGTTGGCAACGAGTAAAGTTCATGAACTCTAAGAAAGCCTAGGAAGGAATAAGATGAATACAATTATTATGCATCTGGTTGGGCTATAAATAAATAAAGCCAGTGGAAAAAATAAGTCATTCTTAAAAGTCAGATATAATAAAAATTAATATTTTAAACCTTTATTTACAATGTTTACTAGTTTATTTTAGGATTGATTAAGGAGATCAATAGTTCACAGAAAATATCTTAAATGGCCTTCTGTGTTTTAGCACAACCTGTTTTCTTTATGTCAACATTTCTACCCAGCTACAAATGGTACTTAAAGGTTCTGTGATAAGCAGAGTTTGACTTGCAGTTAACTTGCTGTCCATGATCTTACAACTAAACTTCAAGTTCTAGCCACTTTTTCTTTTCTTTCCTTTTCTGTCTTTTTTTATTTTCTTTGCAGAAGACCATCAAATGAATTGTCACAGTACTCGAATAATGCAAGACACAGAAAAGGATGATAACAATAATGATGAGTATGATAATTACGATGAACTGGTGGCCAAGTCGCTGCTAAATCTTGGCAAAATTGCTGAGGATGCGGCCTACCGAGCCAGGACTGAGTCAGAAATGAACAGCAACACCTCCAACAGTCTGGAAGACGACAGCGACAAAAATGAAAACCTGGGTCGGAAAGGCGAGTTAAGTTTAGACTTAGACAGTGACGTTGTTAGAGAGACGGTGGACTCCCTCAAACTCTTAGCACAAGGACATGGCGTTGTGCTCTCAGAAAACATTAATGACAGGGGTTACGCAGACAGCATGTCACAGCAGGACAGCAGGAACATGAACTACGTCATGCTGGGGAAGCCCATGAACAACGGCCTCATGGAGAAGATGGTGGAGGAGAGCGACGAGGAGGTGTGCCTGAGCAGCCTGGAGTGCCTGCGCAACCAGTGCTTCGACCTGGCCCGGAAGCTCAGCGAGACCAGCCCGCAGGACAGGAGTCAGCCGCCAAACATGAACCTCCGCCCGCACGCCAGGCCGGAGGATGACTTCCCGGGGAGGACGCCGGACAGGAACTACTCGGACATGATCAACCTCATGAGGCTGGAAGAGCAGCTGAGCCCCCGGTCCAGGGTGTTCTCGAGCTGTGCCAAGGAGGACGGGGGGCACGAGCGGGACGACGACACCACCTCCGTCAACTCGGACAGATCCGAGGAGGTGTTTGACATGACCAAGGGGAACTTGACCCTGCTGGAGAAAGCGATCGCTCTGGAGACGGAGCGCGCCAAGGCCATGCGGGAGAAGATGGCCATGGAGGCAGGCAGGAGGGACGGCATGAGACCGTACGAGGACCAGTCCCCAAGACAGCTTCCCGGCGAGGACAGGAAGCCCAAGTCCACTGACAGCCATGTCAAAAAGCCATACTATGGTAAAGGTAATATTTCTACCTAACGTAAGTTGTCCCATGAGAACACGAGCCAGAGTGAGAGGTGTTGATAGCTACACTTAAAGTATGAGTCACACGAGAGTCTGTCTCCACTGCACATTCTTAGAGCTGATTCCAGAATTACGTTGTGTGATTTTGTTTCTGAAGAGGAATAAAATATTTGTCTGAGAAATACATAAAGCAGCTCAATGTGATATTGTTAGAGCAGATGAATGACATGATCCTTCAGTGGGAATCGCATTCCCTGGGAAGGCAGGAGGAACACTAGGAGATGCCAGTGAGCCTGTGCTGGCAGCCACGTGCCACACGGAGTGGCCAGGGCTTAGGTGACAATTAGCCACCAACAGGTGAAGCACATATTTTACAAATCGGATTGGGTAGGGTGGCATCATGGTGTGTAAAACTATCATGAAATGACAGTTATTGACGGAACCGCCCCCACAGAAAACAGCCCTGATAGAAATCGCACCGCAGCGCAGTGACGGGTGCATGAGACGAGGGCAGGGAGTGCGCAGTCTATTCTCAGGGAGACGCAACCGCATACTGTGCACGGCTGCCGCTGCAGTGGCCGCAGCTGAGCTCGGTAGCAATTCCCTGAGTGTTTTCATTCTTCTCACTGATTCCATTCTACTGTGGAAACAGTTATGGTGCTTTTCTCAGATATAATTTATTATCAAACACTCAAAACTATCCAATATGATGGTTTTAGCTGAATTTTATTTTATGAAATATGCAGGCACATATTTGCATATAACTTCATAGTTTAACTATTTATACTTTTGTACTATACATGTATAGTAAGTATATAATGTGTGTGTATGTGTATATATATATATCTTTAATCTCCAACCCGAATGAGTGACTTTATGTTTGCAATGACGAGTGTCCACTTTCAATGTGAAACAGGCGATAGTTCAGCCTCACACAGAACCTTGGTGCTGTGCATATCACAGTAACAAGTTTCTTTTAGAACTAAGTCAGAAGCAAATCCAAGAATGAAATTGGTGATCCCTTAAATCTTTCTATATTAGTAACAAAAATATTCTTTTTCTGTTTTTATTTTATTCTATTCTATTCGTTATGAATATTGAGTTTTCTCACAGTGAATCTAATAGGTCCAGGAATTTGGTTTGAAAATCAGTTGCTATTTAAACTTCAAACTGTCAGAAAAACTGCATTTTTCCTATGGTGACATAGGTGTGTATTCTCCTCTCAATGTGTGCACGCACTTTCTGCAGCCCCTGGTGGCTCCACAGCCAAGTCCAGCTGGAGGAACCTTGGCCGGAGGCTCTGGGTGTGGCAGCGTTGGGCGCTGACGCCCTCTCGGTTAGGAGGCAAAGGCTGGACCACTGAGGCGTTGTTCTGTGAGGGGGTGATCGTTAAGAGAATGGAGTCTCGGCTCAGCAGGGCTTCAGGCTTGCCGTGGGCACTTTAATGATGGTGAAACGTGGCACGTATGTTCAGGAGTACAGTGCTAGCGTTCTAAACAGGATGTGCTAAAGTTATCCGAATTTTAATTGACTATTTCAGAATCTAACAGGAACCAAACACTTTAGGAAGAAATAGTGTCTTCTCATGTGATTGCTCAGTTGGACATTTGTATATATTTTGGGCTTGTTTCAGATGCAGAGTAGTGGGTTTAGGATGGAGGCTGGCGTGGAGCCCTGTGGTGGTGTGCTGCCTACCGCGCAGGCTGGTTTGGCTTCACAGGTTCTATCAATATTGTGCAAGAGCTTCTTTGGTTTCTTGGTCCCTTTAAACTCAGCAGCTTTATGCAAATTTTAACTCATTTTATTGTTGTTTTATTTTGCTCCAAGAAATGGAATTGAAACTGCTTGTTTCCCTTATGTGAATGGAGGGAGGGGTGGGAATGAACAGTGACAAAGAAAAGTGCTTTTTCCTGAAATGGGAAAGGCTGGCATGGACTTCCCTGGGTGGAAGGCATTGGTCTCTGTCTCTGGCACTTGCTCCAGATCCTCCTCCTCTGACCAAAGTTCATTTCCGTTTTCTATCAGTGTTTTCCACATTATTTCTGGTTTATTCTGAAGCTGTCAGTAGTTATACTCAAAACCAAATAGATAAGGCCAGGAGGCCAACAAAGTGGAACAAAGAGATTAAGGCTCCCTGTAAAAAAAGTTGCTGCGTGGCAATGTCTCACCTGCAGGCCAGGGGACAGTCCCCACAGCTACCGCATGTCAACGGTCTGCTGTTTGACCAAAGGTGGAAAGAGCATCAGTTTTCATTTCTGCACAATCTTCCCAGACTGATTCAAATTGTCCATGAGTAGCATTTCCAAAATCTTGAGTTAATACAAAAGAAGTTAATCATGAAACTGTTCATCTTTCTTCTGCTTAGTCATCCACTCTCACGGGAGCAAGCTAAACCCAGCACACATTTTTTTTCCACAAGTTGATGCAAGGTTTTTGGCTGAATTGTTTGTCTCTTTGCTTGCTTGGTCATTTTGTGTTTGCTTGTACATTTGCCTTTAAGATGAACTGGGAATTCAAATGAAACAAAACTAAAGGGAGGCGGTGGTGAGGGCAAACCCGCACACCCCTCCACAGGGTTTCATGCATCGAGAGGAGATTATACCCTTCTTGTCTTCCGAACCCTGAAACAGTCTTGAGCCACATTGTTTTTGCAAAAATCAGTACTTAATTTCAGAGCACTTTCAAAATCTATGAAATTATATAATTTGCTGGGAAATCCTTTGTCCTGATGGAATAGTCCCTTAATGATGGATGTTAGTTATAACTTACTCCTTGTTTATCTGTCATGAGCCATTTGTATCTAGCTAAAAATCTCTTATCTCTAGTTTATGATTTTTAATAATCGATAGTTTCTTTTGAAACTGTTAACTATGCACTTACTATTTCATATTTATATTAATTAGATTAGACAATACTATGATGAAATTACTGAAAAGACAATGAAATGCTAGGCTTTTAGTTTGCGTGTATAAGAAAAGCTTCAACAAGGTAATTAGAGATTGAAGCCACAACCAAGTAATTTAGTTCAGAGGTCATCTTGGGTAAACAGTGGTAAGAAAGCAGGTGAAGGATATTTCTCCATGGTTTAAGAAGTTCCAGCTCAGGAGAGGCACATTACGTAGAATATAATGTTCCCATAGAAGAGCTTTTTATAGATACATGACACCACTTACATATTTCTGTAAGTCCTTTGTCTATTTCAAGTTCACGCAAATGACTTAAGAAAGTCTATAAGAGTTCAAAATTTTAAACCCAGCTTTTATCTTGAGAAAAGTGAATTCTTAACGAAAAGGAAAACATATTTTCTATCAATTATGATTGGCCTGATTAATGAAATATCAACATAAAAGAATTAAATCCCTAAAAAAATTAATTATAGAATTATCCAAACCAAATCATGATAATCACTACCTATTGGTGATCTGAGCAACTGGTTTTCAAAACTGGCTCAAAAATACAGTTTTTCACACATTTGTATTTACTATTCGGTCTGAGCGTTACTGTAAAAATATTTTACAGAGTTATTATAGTGCACATTTATGAACTGTGGTCAATTCTGGGTATAGAAATAATTTTGTTGGCAATATCATTGCATTTCTGGCATCCAGCATTCGATTTTTGACCAAACCTCTATGCTGACCGTCCTTCACTGGTGCTGCAGAGAAGCCCACAGGGCTGTAGAACGCGTGGCCTCCTAGCGTGGCACGTGCATGCACAGCGCTCTGTGAACCTGCCCTGGTTCCAAGTGCAGATGAAGAAATCAAAACAGATTGCTCCGTGGCTTCTGAAACATTCTTGATTGCCCGTCACCTCTGGCAGGTGGGACCCCCACCCTCTGGTCATCTGCTCACAGTGCCTTCTAAGAGTTCAGTGTATTTCAGAAAAGCTCGGAACTGGTGAGCTGAGAATCATGTTGCTCAACCTCAAGAGAGAAAATTTTAATGTGAGTAAAATTTTGTAGCTTATAGTGTATACGATTAGAGCACTCAGAAAGAAATTCAGCTAAAGAGTTTTTGAATGAAATTGCACTTTCTGGATGAATTTCACAGAGAAATTGCTGAATGTTAATGGTACAGAGCTGGAGTTGTTCTCTAAGAAGGTCACTGTTCCATCACTACTTACGTTGATTTCTTTGAGCAACACGGCTTGTCATGTAACACACGGGAAAATAATTAATCAAGAGTCGACACTAGGGATAGGCATTTTTCTTTCTTTGGGGTAAAAAGGAATTCATAATTACACTGTATAAGGTTGAAAAACTTACCCAGAACCAAAGACCTACCTGAGCGAGAGTCTGATGTCAGAGCCTGCCCCTTGACACCTGCTTTGTTTCTTTCTTTAGCAAAGGTCTCTTCAGATTGTTACATAATCGCATTTTTCTTTGGTAAACATTCATTCTTTTGACACCTGTTGTCGCTTTTAGATCCCTCAAGAACAGAAAAGAAAGAGAGCAAGTGTCCAACCCCCGGGTGCGATGGAACCGGCCACGTGACTGGGCTTTACCCCCATCACCGCAGTCTGTCCGGATGCCCGCACAAAGATAGGGTCCCTCCAGAAAGTAAGTCCACGCCTCACACCCCCGCGGGCGTGCAAACACCCATCATCTGTCTCCACCATCCCGCCTTCCCAACGTCATCTCCATCATACGGCTCAGTGCAACCTCGTGTAACCAGTCCCCCAGGCACCTGGAAGGGCAGCTGGTCCAGGAGCAGTGTCCCGTCAGTGGCCCGAGAGGAGAGTCCTCCCCCAGCCCCAGTGTCTCTTGGCCCAGGAGAGAAGCGCACCACGCAGCCTCGCCCCCGTAGCCCAGCCCAGGCCGGCCTGGGTGCCGGCCCCCAGCTGAGCCTCACTTGCTCTGTGACTTCAGGCAAGGTGCTTCTCCACCCCTTCTCATGAATCACAGAACTGAGTGTATCTGAGACCTTCTCCCCAGCACTAAACTGCTAGAATCCCTGAGGAAAGAGTCCTTAAGCCATCTCTTGCCCAAATATCTGGACTTCTGTATATCATCTGAATGAATATTTAGATCGGAAGTTTTGTTGCATTTTTCTTGTAAAGTCTATTCTTGTCATAGTTGTCCTGAAATTTCAACACTATACGATCTTAAAAAGGAGGTTCAAATCGGGTGGGTTTTTATCTTTCACATTCTCATTAATTAATTAGGTCCTGAGAATATGGAATAAGTCTCTGAAAACAAATCCATGTTTTCTAGAACTGAAATGATACACACCTTTTTTTGTTTATCCTTCTCTCAGCACACAAAGCATACCAACTATTTAAATACAATTATAATCAATTGTTCAGGAAAAAGGCACATTGTCAGAAATGAGTGTAGGAGTGTAGAGTCCTGATTTTGAGTATAAAGCATTAAAGGGTTCTCCGCATTGACTCAGTCTCCAGTGGGGAATGCAGTGGCTTGAGCGATGGCGAAATGACAAGATGACCTGTTGATTACTTAAAGGAACTGTTGAGGATTGTCCCATTGAAAGGGGTACCTGGAATAACTGAGAGCCTGTTCCATCAGAACCAAGTAGGTTCCTGGTAGTGTTAGACACTTAGAAAGGTGCAGCTGAACATTTCAGGTGATATGGTTTTAGAAGCTATTGTGGCTCCAGGTTTCCAATGGCCGCCACAAATGATAGAGCCAGGTTTCTGGTGCCTGGCTGTGCACAGGCTTGATGAGCCATGGCAGTGAGCGAATCAGAGTGTGTGGCTATAATCCCGTGTGTTACATGAGCAGGAAGACAGCATGCTGTAACAACAGCTTCGTGTCCCAGCACACACCTCGAGCCGGGTGCTCAGCGCGCACCCGCAGGCACCGTGCGATCACTTGGTTTCCCACGGACCGCAGGCCTCGGCCCAGTTACGCAGGTGAGGAAAACAGGAAGCACAGACTCCATTGCCCTTCTCTCTCCAGGGCAATTTGAGGATGCCCAGAATGTTTTTAATCGAATCTGAACAGGTGCTAACTCGCCTAAGTAAACGCCAAGCCAAGGCGTAAATCTGCATCTGCCTGACACCGAGCCTCACTGCGTCCCTGTAGCCTGAGTTCGACGTCCAGCATCAGCCCTAAAAAGCTGCGTGGTCCTGGTGTGTCACGGGCTCTGCACTTCCTTTTCCTCATCTGCAAAATGAGGCCTGAGGACAAGCTCTAATGTTTTAGGAAGAAAGAGTTTCTTTATGCATTTTTTTCTTTTAAGACATATATTTTTGCCTCCAAGGTAAATTATCACTTCCTTTTTATGGATGAGAAATTCTGACTTTTCATAGGCAAATTCTAAATGAAGTAGAAACAGGGACCGTGTTCTGATAAGCTGCACATCGTACAGACTTGTCCCCACCGCGGGTGCAAGTGGGCATGTGGCTTGGACGCAGTCTCAGAGGACATTCCAGAGCGTCTGCAGGAAGTGTTTCTGAGTGTCTGCTCATGCATGATCCTCCACAACACCACACAAACGTAAATTAAGAAATTAAAGGATTCCATCCATAGAAGGCTTCTTTTTTCTTTCAGTTTTTCTGGGCCAGTTTTCCCTAGTCATGATTTTTGTCCAGCTGAATTCAGTACAGAGCTCACGGCACATGCACTGCTGGGACGTCAGAGGGCACCCACTGCATGAGAGGAGGGCTGTCCTCAGGGGCACCCAGCCCGGCCAAGGGAGGCATGAGCACAGGCTGAGCACGGGCACTGCGTGGGGAGCTTCAGCAGCAGCTCCAACCTTCAGGAGGCCAACGGTCCCAGGACTTCCCCAAGGGGATGTGTTCACTGTCCCACAAGAGAGGGAAGGAGCCCGTGGCGTTCTCTAACGGCTACTGCAAACGTCCATTCGAGAGGTCCAGGCATGGAGAAGGCAGTGGCAGTGGGGTGGAAAGGCGGGGACAGATTCAAGAGGCATTTCAGAAATAGACCGCAGGACACAAAGGTTACTGCACGTGAGAAGCAGGAGAAAGGGGAGATGGAGACGCCTCCGAGGAGCATAGCCTCAGTAAATGTAGGGATGACAATGCCAAAAGCAAGCAGAGCAAACTGAGGGATGGGATGCACTTAACGGGGGAAAACCGTGACTCCCACATTAATCATCTCAACTCTAAGTGCTGCGCGGTGTTCCCAGCAGGCACTGGGAGGGCGGGTCTGGGGACAGGGAGTTCAGGTGCAGAGGAGGCTGCATGGACGCCGTCTTCAAGCGGCCTCAGTGAGAACTGACAATGGGCTGCCCAGAGAGGTGGCATGGGGCAGGATTGGAAGGGCGGCCCAGTGGGAAGTCTGGCCGTGAGTGTGTAGCAAGGGGAGGCAGAGGAAGAGAACCAGGGAGGGAAATCAGAGAAACAGAAAGGACTGGGAGGGGTGGTACTTCTGAAAAGTCCCGTAAAGTGCAAGGTCATTGGACTTGTTATGTAAATGTTCACTGTTGACACCCAGGAGAGGGATATGTGAAGAGGAGAGGTGGGCGGCAGAGCTGCACGGTTTAAACTGCCAAGGTTTGAGAAACAGGGTTGAGATGGATGAAGCAGAGGCAGGGTGTAGACAAAGGCTGGCCAGGGATCCCATCTCAAGTGCGAGTCCCTATGGGACCGGGAGACCCACTCTCTCCCAGCAGGTCCACACTGCAGGTAAGCGTGGCGGATGCCTGCCATCCCAGGCAAGGCTTTGTTTGAAAAGTACATCTTAAAAGGACAAGGAGGTGTGTGTCACTGTGACAGGGAAACTGCATTGAGAGACGTGTTTGTGTGCTGCAGCGATGGGTGCCAGGAAGACAGTGAGCAGCCCTCACTGCAGGACTGACTTCCCTGCAGTGAGGGCTGCAGGGAAGTCAGGGCTCTGCAGAAAGGGGCCTGGACAGGTGAGAGTGCAGCTGGGGAGCTGCCCTGGAAGGGAGGGGCACTTCCATCTCCAGACAGGGGAAGAAAGGCAGGCGTGGTCCCAGACTCCCCCAGGAGGGAGGCCTGTGACCCACTCCAGCCAGGTCCCCAAGGCAGTGAGCCAAGGGCTGAGTCATGTGGATCACTTAGTGTTTGGGTTGCTCTGTGTTGAGCATCAACCACATCGAGGGTCAAGGTAGGAACTACAGGAGCTGTAAAAATAAAGCCCAAATGGACTCTGTTTGCAAGGAACTGACCAGTGGTCCAGATCCTGGATGTGGACTCAAACGAGACCTGTGGATTTCAGGGGAAACAAAGACCGTTCTAGAGAAGGAGGAAAATTATCAAAAACGCAGTTATGTAATGAGTCCAGGCAGACATAGTCCACATTCGCAGGGCCTTAGGTACACTATGCAGCCAGGGACGCCGTCATGGCTCTCATGGAGTTTGGGAGGCACCTCAGAGGAGCAGGGCGCCTCACTGCATGGCCAGGGTGCAGGGCAGTTGTCCTGATTTTCCCCAGCAATTCTAACCCCACCTTCCCCCAGAGTCCAGAGTAGCAGAGCGTTGATTGGGGACCAGAAAAGAAGGGCCGCGTGTGTCAGGTCCTCTGTCACTGCCTTAAACAGCTCTCCCTGCACAGGCCACAGCCTCCGTGTGCCACGGAGAGAGTGTCCCAGCTGCTGCTCCCACTTGTCAATCTCACGTGGGAAACATGCATGGCACTTATGCATTCTATTTTAAGAATAATAAAGTACTTAATTCCTAAAGGAAAAGTCATTATTTATTTTATTTAAAAATAAGGTTCTGGGTTTTCTACTTACCCAAGCCCGCCACATGTTCATAACGCGGCTGTGTTTCCAAAGCCCAGGCGTGCTTTACAAACTGCCGACCTGTGTGCCCTGCGTGGCCAACCGATGCCCGTGTTCACACAGAGGAAAGCTGGGGGCCTTGCTCCTCTCTCCCCCGGAAGATTTAGTGGCAGCGTCCCTGGACCTCCAGGGCTCCCTGGCCAGTGGCCCTGCCTTGCATGCGGTTAGGGCAGGCGGGAGGCAGCTCTGGTCCTCCCCACGTGTCGTCCTGACCACGCACATCACCGCCGTCTGTAGGACTGTCTGTCGTGGGCTAGCCGCCCTTGTTAAAGTGACTGCCTGTGTGCGTCTCCCGACCACCCGTTCTAACGCTGGGCTGTTTTCTCTGCCTCTCCTTGTCAAGTCCTTGCCATGCACGAAAGTGTTCTCAAGTGCCCCACTCCGGGCTGCACGGGGCGAGGGCACGTGAACAGCAACAGGAACTCGCACAGAAGGTAAGCCGCTCCTCCTCGCTGCCTTCCGGCTGGAGGGACCGCGGGCTCCACCTGCGAGCGCGCCCCCCACGCCCCTCCTCCTGCAGAGAGGCCCCTGCCTGCCCTTAGGCCACTCCCAGGGAGTGCAGGACACCCTGCATAGCCAAGGCTTAGAGGCCCTTTTTCCAGTTGGGTGCTTTTCAGCTGTCTCACTAGCTTGTCACCATGGGAGCCACGCCCATTTCCAGTGACTGGAAGGGATATGGCAAAGTCTTAATGACCCTCGGGGCGAGGAAGGGGCTGCCCTGCCCTTGACACAGGACTGTACGCTGTGCACAGTCAGTCTGTGTCATATATGGTGTCACTTGCCTGCTGGAAACTCTGCCAAAACCACAGGTCACCAATCTGGACATCTTCAAAATACGTGTAGGTGTCCAGGGGTTCTGTTGGATGGGGGGATCTGGGATGAGAATGTGCCAGAAAAATAGACTTTTTTTTTTACTCCTGCTGTGAATAAGTATGCTCAGAATCATGGTTTTGTTTGTGACAAATTCTAGTTGTCTTTACTTGTTCAGGCTTTGTAAGAGATACTAAGTTGCTCATAATATTCAGCTCATATCATATTTTTTTTTCAGTAGCAGAAAAGTGATTCTGTTGAAGTTTTAAAGTTTGTCTTGTCTAAGAGGCTCAGCCTCACAAGCTCCTGTGAAATCATGTCTAGAAGGAGCAAGCTGTCATAAGTTACACTGCAATTTTTGCTTGAAACGTGTGCGCTTCAGAGATTTTCTGGTGCTTAACCTGCAGGTGGAAGAAATGGTGGATAGGTTGGTAAGGCTCATGCTGGGTGGTGTTCGCTGTAGCAGTTACGTCAGTTCCTTCATCAGACGGCAGCACAGCCCGTGTTTGTGAGGCAGGACACAGACACGGAGCACGCGTCTGTGCGCGCGTGTGCACACATGTGGGCACGCAGAGCAGACACCATGGTTTCGTGAAGCACAGGCTCAAGCCCAAAAGAACCCACCTGCCGTCTTCTCCACACAGACCCCCCCCCCCCCCCCCCCCCCCCCCCCCCCCCCCCCGAGCTGTGTAGTCCCAGGAAGCGTTTCCCTGCACTTTCTGCTTGCCCTTCTCTGCTCCCTCCTGTGCAGACAGCAGAGGGCTGAGGTCAGGTGTGTCCGCCCAAACCAGCTGCACTTGCAGAGCCGGCTCAGAGCGCCATCTTCTGGTGCCGGCCAGTTAGTTGCCATTCTTGGGCTTTTTAAAAACTCATCTTGCCCAACTTATTAATTTCTCATCTCCAGAAATGGTGAACATCCCAGAATGGAATCTGTGCCTAAAATTGTAACTGGCACGTGTTCTCCTGAGTGCCCGGAACTTGGCTGGCTCTCACTGGAGAGAATTGGGCACACTTGGTACAGGGTGGTGCCGTCAGCGTTTTGCCCTGGAAGCCAAGACAGAAACATGCAAACTAGAAACAGGGTCATTTCTCCTCCCCCTGAGCCACCCTGTCAGGGTTGTCTGTAGCAGGTCTGGGAAACCGCTCCCCTCCCAGCTCCACCCATGTGAGGGTCTCTTGTGCTCAGGGAGGATCAGTGTGTGTGAAGCCATCTGGGACGAGACCACTAAACCCCCTTTCTGTACTTGCAGCCTTTCTGGATGTCCTATTGCTGCAGCAGAGAAACTGGCAAAGGCCCAGGAAAAACACCAGAGCTGTGACGTGTCCAAGTCTAACCAGGCCTCGGACCGAGTCCTAAGGTACCCACACAGGAGCGCGTCGTCTCACAAGAGTCACCCGTGGTCCCTCCCCCCAGCAGAGGCGGATGCTCTCAATGAGCAGCAGGGACGGGGTGGCTGCACCGGTCAGGACCTGCCCCCACCCCACGCCGCAGCGAGACTGTGTCATGGCCAGGTTCTTCACCTGCCTGTCCTTGATGACCCATAGTGACTATTTAAATGGAAAATTGGAGGAATTGTTTCTGGTTTTCTTTGTGGCCCTGATATTTCATGATTCTGTGAATGCTAGATGAAAGGGAAGCTTTGGAAATTAGTGAGTTGCCCAAAGTAATTTTATCTTAATGGGGGGGGGTGGTGTAGCACCAGCCCGCAGGGTGGGGCCAGTGTTGGAGATGTGAGATGGGCACCACCTCGCACGTCACCGGAAGCTCTCCACAAAAGCCGTGCAGTTGTCCTCCCCTTTTGTCCTCAGACGCCCTGACGTGTGGGTGGGAGTGGGCACAGCCCCTCCGTCCCACAGTCGAGAGCACCCGGTGTGGAGAGGTCAAGGGGCTCACCTGACCTCACCTAATCCCTGGGTGTTAGCCAGGAAAGGCCTCGCAGGTCGTCTGGGGAAGCCCCTGCTTCTTCCTGGCTGGCAGAGGACGCTCGGCAGGTGTGGGTGGAGGAGGAAGCCCACATGCCCATGGCCCCCATGTACACACCTTTCATTTTTGCTTATCCCTTCAAATGCTCGTCCTAGTGAAAACTGCAGTGGTCACCGTGTATTCTGGCTTTTCACTCAGTGTCACACCAGAAACACGCTCCCTTGTCTCGATACAATGATCGTAGTCGGCATCTTCGCAGTGTGCTCTGCTGTGCTGGTGGGCATTCAGGTTGTTTCCAACTTTTACTGTTAGCAACAGGAAACATTGTTTTACATATATAGCATTTTGCTTCTGCTTAATGATTTGTTTGGGATAAATCACTTGAGAAAATCACTAGGTAAGAGATGTGAATATCTTTTTGCTTCTTGTGTATTATTTCAAAGCTTTCTCAAAGGATTTGACCACAATGATTAAACCTCATTTCTCTCTCAATAGAAAAGTTAAAATATTTATAGAAAATTAGAAATATTTAATTAAACAAAACTAAGGAAATAAAAACTATACATTATTATATCATTTAGAGATTATTCCTCAGTAAATTTTGGCAGATGTACTTCTAGAGATTTCTACATGTGGGTATTATCAATCTAAAATACTCCCAGTGTACCTGGCTCACAATTTCCCCTTCAGTGTAGCCCATCCATCTTCCAGGCAACACCCCCAAATGCTAACAAACTGTAGGACTTGCTCCCTTTCCTCCCCCAGCCCACTGGTAGTTATCAGCAGAATGAGAACCACTCCCCTCCCACACACACACACACACACAAATAAACATAAATTAGAGATGGCTGTTAATCAAAGGAAATTTTGAGAAATGGTAGGGAGAAATTTTTTGCTGAGGGCTGTTACTAACTTTTCTCTATCTACTCTGGCAGACTCTGGAAAGCTAGAAAGAAGCCTTGAGCCCTAGCTGAGGTTACTAGGAGACTGCACTGCCCACACAAGTCAGTCCTGAGCCTGGATTTCAGAGAGAGCCTCATTGGCAGCGTGAGGCCGGCCAGACATGTGTGTCACTGCAAATATCACAATGTCCAAATACAGGCTGCCACTCTGACATCCATCCAGGCCTAAAGCACCCACCTTCTACCTGTGTCTGGGCTTCGTAGCCAGGATCCCTTTCCTGGGTTGGCACCATGGAAAGCTGCACCAATGCCACCAAACAGGAGAGAGTGGACCAGTTGCTGTGCACATACAAATGATTCTATTTATGTGCATCTGGCTGGAGTGGGAGCGGGGGGCGGGGAGGGGGGCAGGCCACTAACAGAAAGAGAAAGACCCACTCCCACTGTTGAGGGAGCCACTCAGGATAGGACAGGCAAAGGCCACTAACGGGCCAGCAGCTCCCAGCTCTGTAAGGAGACACATGGCTGCCAGGCTGGGGCACCAGCCCTGCCTCCGGGGCTCTCTCAGGCTCTGCAGCTCCAGAGGCCACCTGTGTGCCAGGTTGTGTGTACCTGTCCCCCGCTGTCTCCTCCTAGAGGGTGTTCATTAGAAGGGATAAGGGAAGACACAAGAAGGAAGAAAGAAAAAATGTAAACCTTAAACCTATAGTCATTTAATTCTTAATAGTTACAGTAAAAAAAAAACAGTCTTTAAGTAAATTGTCCAACAAGAACCTGAGACTTAAGTACCTGCTTCCAATCGTGTAATCTCATCTCCAGCATCCTGGCGTGCGGCCTGCGCTGCAGCCTGTGGTCGTGGGTGGTGCACCACCCACCGGCTGAAGCCTCTCCCCACCCACCCTTCCTCTGACCTGGCCCCAAATCTTTCCAGGCTTGGGGATTATGCTTCTCTCGAGCCCAAACCCTGTGGCTGCGCCCACCAGGTGAACGGATGGCCAGTCTGTCTGCCGACCTGGTCCATGCTGCTCCCTGCAGGTGGTCTGAACTGTCCTGCCCCTCAGCCTCGGACGTCGCAATTCCTTCTTCTGGATGCTTCTCACTCCACCCTCTGTCTTGCCCTTAAGAATTTACCTGCTTCGCAAAGCCTATTTCAGATGTTCACATTTAATTAATCCCAGTGCCTAGAGGGACCTCTCTTCTCCAGAATTCCCACAGCACTTAGACCCTTAAAATAATATCACATTCCAGGTGATCTTTCTAAGCAAAATCTAAAGTTTTATTCATTTGTGTACCTTCATATTGCCTGGTCAAATGCTCAAAAATAATAATCAATCGTTACATTATTTTGTTGGTTTGACAAGAAATAAATAGGTTAAATTAATGAAATTAAAATAGGTATGTTGGTGATTTGGTAAATAAATTGGATATTTAACCATTACTATGCATTATTAAGTGGCATAGATATGTTATTAAGCAATATAAAAGTTCATTTTCTTTTTTTAAATCGAGTTATCAAAACTTTGTAACTGCCCCAAAAAAGATATAAATTTTTGAAATAATCAGAGAAGAAATAGATTATGTACATGATGCATATTAAGTCACAATGTATAATAGCAAAAAAATCTAAAAGTTGGAAAATAAATAGTATGATATTCCTTAATTTCTCTATCATGCAGCTATTAAGAACTGTTTTTAAAGCCTACACAACAAAAAAGAAAATAAATACCATGTAAAATAAAGTGTAAAATATATAAAAGTATAAGGTTCTAACTGTTTAAATAAATATATGATACATTAAATTAACCTGAAAAAAATATGTGCCAAAACCTTAGCAGTTATTGTCTCTGGAAGAATTATAGGTAATTTTTTCATACCTTTTTTGTATCTTTAAATATTTTTTCAATGAATCATATAAAAGCAAAAACATCATCATAAAAAAGAAAACAATAATTTTAATTTTTTTATTTCTAAGGCGAGTACAGATAATTTTTGTGTACCAATATGCATAACCTTTAGACAGAGAGAAGACTCAAAAAAAAATATGTGTATTCAGACACACAAACAATATTTGTGGAAAATAAGTTAGGAAAAGGAAAAAAATGAAACCTCTTCGATTCCCATCCACAGGGAGAACCAGTCAGGATGCCATTTGCACAGCTGTGTCAACGAGTTTTCTGCAACACAATGCACATTCGTACCTGCCATGCCACAGTTTCAAATGGCTGCTAGAATGCCACACTTGTGCTTGAGGTACAGGCAGTGTTTGCACATCTGATACTAAAAACCAAAAACTAGAATCTTACTCAAAAATGATCCTCTTTCATAAATTGACTGTGAAACTTTCTTACTAAAACATCACTCTTCATTAGGTCATTATTTGGAATACATTTTACATAATTTAGAAAAATAAGCATCAGGAAACTCTCCGCCCTTAAAATTCAATGTTTTGTGACGGTGTGCAGAAACGATGCTTATGGGAAAATGTCTGTAAGTACTTTTATAGGTATTTTACCTTGAGAAAAATGCAAAGAAGGCTGATTATACTGTAGAATTCTATGATTAAATATGCATCTATATCTAGTCAACAAAACGCCTGACCTGTGCTCTTCAGAGCTGTCTGGGCTGCGGAGCCCAGGCGGGGCAGAGAAGGGCACAGAGGGTCAGAAGGCTGCGCAGCCAGGTGCAGCGCGGGATCTCAGCGTGGCTCTAGCAGGAAAAACAGTAGTGGAGACACTGGGCACATCCAAATAAAGCCAATAGCTTAATATATAATATTTTACTAAGATGGTGAAATGAGCAGAAGGTGGTGAGAGGCTATTTGAGAAACCTCTTACAACTTCTCGGTAAGTCTAAAATTATTTCAAATAAAACGTCTAAAAAATCCCAGTTAGGAGATAGATAAAAGAATAGATGCACAGACACACATACACACACACACACACACACACAAGAAAAAAAACATAAAAATTTGGTAAATGAATAATAATTGAGTATCCCTCCATTTAAATACATTCTAAAAACTAAAAAAAAAAAAAAAAAAAAATGACTATTAAGTAAAAATACTGAAAGTAGGTGAGGCACAGTGGCTCACACCTGTGCTGTAATACTAGCACTTTGGGAGTCTGAGGCAGGAGGATCACTGAGGCCAGGAGTTCAAGGCCAGCTTGGGCAATGTAGTGAGACTCTGTCTCTATAAAAAACAGAAAAATTAGCCAGATATGGTGATGTGCACTTACAGTTCTAGGTACTTGGGAGGCTGAGACAGGAGGATTACTTGAGCCCAAGAGTTTGAGGCTGCAGTGAGCTATGACTGCACCACTGCACTCCAGCCTGGGCAACAGAGTAAGACACTGTCTCTTAAAAAGAGAAAGAAAGAAAAGAAAGAGATAAAAACAAAAAGAAAGAGAGAGGAAGGGAGGGAGGGGAGGAAATGGCAATATTTGACAAAATATTTTCTACCTGTACCATCTTATTATCCATCTATAGATAGCTTTTGATCTAGTTTTGTCTCAGTCTATGTCCCTAAGAGTATAGCTTTATTTCCTCCCATTTTTAAGGAGAGCTCTCTTGTCAGCTCATGTCACTCTAGTCTCCTAGTCTTCGTAGCTGCTACAGGGCCAATGCACCAGTGTGAGATTCCCCCACCCGCATGGTCCGCATCTTCATCACACCTACCCCACCTCTTAACTGAGAAAAACAGAAAATTTTGAATATTTTATTTCTTGCTATCTTTTATTGCCCAAGTTGACTTTTAGGCAGATAGCTTATTTAGTGCTACATAATTAAAACACGTTTTGTATTTCCTCAGGAAAGTAAAATAGTGATTTTAGGGGAAGTTTCCGATTCCTTGATATATGTAAGAAACAGATGTCCCTCCCGGCCGTAGCGTGAAGCGTGTCGTGTCGGAGCCACAGCAAAGCGAGCTGTTGTCTGTCCTCTCCTTCACTTCCAGGCCCATGTGCTTCGTAAAGCAGCTGGAGATTCCTCAGTACGGCTACCGAAACAATGTCCCCACAACCACGCCGCGCTCCAACCTGGCCAAGGAGCTCGAGAAATATTCCAAGACCTCGTTTGAATACAGCAGCTACGACAACCATACTTATGGCAAGCGAGCCATAGCTCCCAAGGTGCAAACCAGGGATATATCCCCCAAAGGATATGACGATGGTAGGAGGTGCACACTCTTATACATGAGAGACACGTTGCCATTGCTGATGTTGTTGTTGTGTATATCGATGTCCTGCAAGCTAGTCCAGCACTGTGGTCACTTGAGGGGTACCCAGAGAAAGGACGCTCACAGGTCAGCCCAGGAGCCGAAAGCCCCCAGGTCACACAGGTCTAGGAACGAAACCCTGTGGGAAGGAAGGAGAGGAAGTCCCCTTCGTGCACTCTGGCTGCATATGGATGGAGGGAGAAGCCATGGCTCCTTGTGTCTGATGGTGTTGGCAAGCCCGTGGCCTTTTCTTAATACACTCCCCCTCAGTGGACGGCCTGGAGGCTGCCGTCCCGGGAGAGCCGGGGCGCACCCTCTGAGCCGGGCAGTGGCGAGAGGCTCTGCACTCATCTCCCCAGTGCTCTCGGCCACAGATGCACATGACAGCCACCTGGGGAGGTCATTTCTGAACTCTCACGCCCAGGCTGCACCCAGACCCACTGAGTCGGAGTCTCAGGGCCTTCTCCAGGCAAGGGTAGTGCAGGCCAACAGACATCCACAGACCTCGTGTCTGCTCTCCAGCTGGCTGGGGCCGGCTGGAGTGGGGAGAAGGGGGCAGGTTGGGTGCCACCACCCGTCGTGACCAGACTGTGTTACCTGCTGCATTTTTGCCACATGGTATCTACCAACAAGGTAGAGCTGATGAAACAAAAAAATGCTGCATGCTTCAAGGGAAGAGGGCCATGTATTTTTCATTAATGCTCATTTGAACTGTACCAATGGTGTGAACTAGTTACTGGTTCATTATAGAGCTAATTTGGTAAGTAGTTTGTCATTAGAGGGGAAGACTGTATTTCTTTCATTTTTACTTATTTAGCCATGTATCTGCTTTAAATCCTAGAATATATAGACATAGTTGCCAAATTTTACCCACTGGGACTTGGGGTGACATAGTCTGATGATTGCAAGTGTTGTCATGGTGCTCTCCAGCACAGAGAAGGACACAGGTCTTTAAAGATTTTTGAGCTCCTCTTTGAAAACATATTTAATTAACACCACAGTACACACTCACACACACAGACACAGTATTTGAATTGAACACTTAGGAAGTGTAGAAACCTTTTCTTACAATTCAGCATGAGGTGCTGCACGTGTTTCTGAGCTGTGAGCTATGTTATTTCTTGCCTTAGTAACAATTTATTTATAAAATGAATGAAATTTAATATTTCTTTGATATATATTGGCTATCCTTGTGTATCAATTCTTAATATTCAGAAACAGACATAAGTAGAAAAAAGGAGTGGCTTTAGGGTATAACAAAAAATAATTATTTTAGTATTTTTTATCCTGTATAATTACTTTCAAATTTCAGGTTTTGTTGTAATTCATTTATTCAATTTCAAATGAAGGTTCAAAGAAGTTAAGATCACATAATGGCAGATTCTGTTTGTATGATTCCCAATTCATTGATGTTTTACAGAGATTTAATTAATTCTTTCATTAAGTACATATTTTTATACTTTAGGTTTTTTTGTTTTATTTTGTTTTGTTTTTGCTGTTGAACAACAGCACTTTTGTGTGGCCGTGTTGTCACGGTTGGACTCCAGCCTTAGGACGAAAGGGGCCTTCTGGGGTAAGCCGTGCCCAGCATGGCAGGCCCCCGCAGTCACAATGCGCGTGCGTGGACCCGAAGTCATCTGAGCGAGTCTGTTCTCAGCTCTTGGGCTCACCAGCTGCGTGAGCCGGGACCACGTAACTTCCCAGGCACGGGTTCCTCCAGTAGAGCCCCGCGGACCTCAGGGGCTGCCGTGCAGGTCAGCTGGAGAGAGATGGTGCCTGTGGACCTGGCCACACTGTGCCAGCTGTAGAAAGTGCACAAATACGTGTTAGTTATTGGCATCCGTTGTCACATGCTCAGGCACAATCCCCGCTGTGGGAAGCCAAGGCTGAGCCGAGCCTTTCAGCTGTCTCCCAGAGAGCAGGAGCCTGCTGAGTGTGCAGGGAACGTCCGTGTCAGAGCTTCAGGAAACCAAGGAAAATGGAAATGCAGCCTTTTACCACCATTCACTGAGAAAACAGATTGACCCTTTCTATTCCACTAGATTCACCTGACAAATTTTAGAAACGTCCTGTGAAGAGCCCACTAGGACAAGATTGGCTGGGTCGGGATGTTGGTGGAATTGGTCTGAGGAGCCTTCCTGTACCTGGGCACCAGGTGCAGGTACTGAGGATGGGGACTATTATCTGCAGTTACCTCCAAAGTGTCCTGGCCAAGACCCACTCCAGAATCAACAGAGAGTTGAGTCATTGCTCCTAAAAGGCCAGGAATAGCCTGCTGTAGAGAAGTGTCATTCTCAGGGAACAGGGGCACAGCCGTGGACTCAGAATGGACCAGAAAGGAAGTAGTAACATCCTTGTCTCCAGTCTTGTGGTGTCATCCCTTCAACCATACCTACTGTGATCAGAAACCCTGCACCCTGCCAGACACAGCAGGCCAGGGCTAGCCACCACCCTCGGTCCCCATCATCTGCCTGCCTGTCTCTCTTCCTGCCACCAATCTATTCTTTCCCCTGGGATAATAAGTTTCAAGGAAAAGATCACAAATAAATATAAGATAGTTAAGCCCATTCTGATGTGAGAAGCAAGGAGTCTGTTCTGTCCTCAGGAATTGGCGGGAACTTTACCAAAGAGGCAAATTTTAAGCTAGATCATGAAGTGTGAGTGGAATACATGGAGGCGGGAAGCTCATGGGCTTGTGAGGACAGCCAGGGGCTGGAGGCTGGACAGGACCACTGCGAGGCCACCGAGGGGGAGGCGCTGTCCCCAGGAGGGAGCCCTTGCCATGATGGGGGGGGGTGGGCAGAAAGGCCCTCACACACTTGCCGCTCCTCCTCCTGCCTGCTTTGTATGCAGAGCCAGTAGCAGCATTTACACTTTTAAATAGGTGGAGAAAAAACAAAAGAGGAGAATATTTTGTGACATGTCAAACTCTGTGAAATCAGGCACGTGTAAAGTGCTGCTGGCCCTGGCCGCTCCCGCAGGACAGGACAGAGCAGAGTGGTCGAGACACGCACCACCCCGTCCCCTAAGCCTGAGGCAGTGACTCTCGGCTAGGACGCGTCCATGTCCGCTTGGCCCCAGGCCTTGTGTCCCAGCCTTGGTGCTTTTCACCCGTCATGTTCCAGCCCTGATGGGCCTCCTGCCGTCTGCTGCCGGCTGTTCCCGTGCAGATTCTCTGGTGCTTAAAGCTCTGGGCCACCTGAACCTTCCTCTTTTGCACCCTGGAAGGCCCTCGGGGGCACTGCTGCCTGGCCTCCCTGACAGAGCCTCCCCTCCAGAGCTCTGTCTCCAGGGGCCACGCCCACACCTGCAGATGGCCCCGTCAGACCCCTGGGAACTGCGGCCACACCGGCCTTCCCTCTGGGCTACAGGCACCTGGCAGCAGGAGGCCTGGGCCAGACCCAGGGCAGGCAGCAGGGATGCTCTCGCAGGGACGCCCTGCTCGGACCTGCTGAGCTTAAGTTCAGATCTTGTGACTATGGGCCTCTCAGAGAGCGTTGCGCAGGACACTCTCACAGGAAAGCGCCTATGGCCCATTTAAGCTTCCGCATCCACAGGCCTGCTCACTCGAGCTGAAGCAGGGTACCGTGTGGGCTCTGCGTGGAATTGGGCTGCAGGTCACCAGGCCCCAGCCATAGGAGGCACGGACATCTTTTGATGACATCCTTTATTGTCAGTTTTCATGGAAATTCATGATCTTAAGAACATATTTATCTATTCCCTACAGGAAAATGCGAATACATAAGGAAATAGACATTTCTAGGAGAATAAGACATGCACATTTAGTAAGAATTCCACAAGCAAAGCAGGCAAACAAACAGGTCCTGAGTGGAAGTTTTGTTCCCTTTTTTGTTTGAGTTGGGTTTTTTTAATTTTAATTTATGTGTACAGCCATATTTAATAACTAGGAATCCTGTATACTTTTCCTCCGTCCTGCAGTGGAGGAGCTAGAATACCTGACAGGTATTTCCCAGGGTGAGTTGAGATCCAGCCGGCTCCCATGCCATCAGCTAGGACTGCAGCACTAGAGCAAAAGCCAGAAATACTGAATATCTCCCCTGACACGCAGGGACACTCTGGGCCCTGGAAGATCATTAACAAATTCTTGTCTGCTGTTGATTGAAAACAGCTTTGTTTTCCAAAAGAAAAATAAAGTGCATTTTGTGGCTGTGAAACTGCTCTTATCTGATAAGTGGGAGGGACAGAGGATGGGGCAGTGGGACTGGCACCCAGTGAGTGCAGTGACCCAGCAGCGAGTGTGGTCCCAGGGACACTGGCGTTAGCAGCTTTGCTGACTTTTCACAAATAGGAGATAATTATTATGACTAAAAACTTTCTTTTCCTGAAGCATTTAAAGTATAGACACTCTTATTTTCATTTTGATTAGAACAAAAATGATAGTTTGCATCTGGTAAGAGGATGCTTACGAGAGTAGATGCTGTCCTAGTAGCTCGTCTGAGTGCCGAGAGTTGACAGGGCCGCAGGAGATGATTAACAACTCAGTCACCTACTCAACTTTCCTGCCCGCTTGCCTCCTCCAGACGTAGCTTCTTACGGTTTAAGTGTAGATGCATCACCATGTGTACGCTTTAGAACTTCAAGATAATTTAAAGTGATTCAAGTAAGATAAGAGAAAGAAATACAAAGATTCGTTTGAGTTAAGGATTCGTTTAAGTAAAATGTAGTCACAGAGAGGTAGTATTTTTTAGCAGATGAAATGCTGGCCCAGCCCAGGTGACCTGCATCCTTCACGGCAGGGAAGCTTCTCTTTGTTCACCTTCATCTTGACCATGGCAGCCTCAGTTTCCCCATGCGGGAAGTGCGTGTGTAGCAGCGTCTCACAGGAGGTGGGGGCACCGTGCAGTCTCGGTAGAGAACCTGTGAGCGCAGCATGAAGGGCAGTCACTGCAAGAGCAGCACACGGCTGGGGGCACCTGCCCTCCGCAGAAGGGGCCGGGAGCTCACGCCATGTCTCTGGACTGCGTACCTGCTAACCGCTCTGCGCTGGCTACAGTTTGTTGCATAGACTCATGTTGTTCCTTTTCCTTGTTTTTTAGAAATTGCAATGCATTCATTTCAAAACAAACCTGTTATATTTTATTTATGGGGACCACTTTGTTCTGAACCAGTGGCTGGCTAGCCTTCACTCGTGAGGAAGGAGGGCCCCTCATAAGGATTGTTTCATTTCTCCTACGATTTCTGTATACCTGATTTTTCTAACAAAACTGTACATGATGTAAAATTAAGACCAAATCCAGAGAATCACACACTGTGAACTAGCAGTCACTCCACACGGCTGCAGGGCCCAATGCAGGGTCCTGCCCTGGCCCTTGGGTGGCCCTTCCCAGAGGCCCTGGCCTGGTCTGTGCTCAGCCTTGGCCACTGCCCACCCGCACTGCACTGCCACTTAGATGAGGGGCCTCCACAAGGCACACACCGAGGGACACTGTGACGGCTGTGGCTTTGCTAGCATCGTAGAAGTCGTGTTATCTGCCAGTTACTGCTCACTTCATGGATTTTGCATGTGGGATTTGAGCCTCTCGTCCACGCCAGGGAAGCTGGGGATAAAACGGTCACTTATGTGTGTGGCTTGTTCTGTCACTTTGGGTAGGAGAACGCATGGCCAACCCCTCTCCTGGGCTCTGGCCATCAGTGCTCTCCAAGTATCACTAAGAACGTTCATCTTCCTCAGTGTCCTGAGAACACAGGCTTCGGTCCAAAATCAGCATTATCAATGACGACCGCGTAATTCTGCTTCTCCTTTGTATCTAAATCCAGAGTTTCGGGATAGTTATCTAGTATGGCTCATAGCAACCCTGTTGGCTATGTGGGAAGGTTCTTTGTTTAGTTTTATTTTCTTCTTCCTCTTTGGGAGGAAATTGCTGAGGATGTCAGAGTCCAGTGTGGAGCTGCTCGTGATGGTGTCAAGGCACCCGGGGGGCAGTGGCCACCTGCAGCCCCCACCCCTTGCAGCTTCTGTCAGGATCCCCAGGCTGGGGCTTTGCCAGTTAGGACCAGCGGCCCAAAGCGCAGGGTTCATCTTTAGCCGGTCACCAAGCTCTCTGGGGCTGGCCTCACACTGTCTGCGGGGAAGCAGGCTGAGCTTGCTTTGGAAGGAAGGCATTTAATAAAAGGAAGGGGTTAGTACCCTGGGAAAGAGGTGTTTGGGGGGATCTTTCAGACCCTCCAGGTTCACCTCTAAGTTAGCCCAGACTTTGCTGGATTAGGGTGAAGTATCTGGCCCAACACGATGAAAATCCCATGACATTAGCTGACAGTGATGATATATTAGTAAAAAGGAGCCCATCATAATAAACCACAGAACCAGACATGTTCTCATACATGTACTAAAGGAGATTTTTAAGCAGTTCTTAATAAATAATCCCTGCTTCTACGTTTGGCTGTTAGTGAGGATGATTGTTTAGAAAGGATTACTAAGCAACCAGAGTCCTTTAAGCAGAGCTCCTGGATGCAGGACAATAGGGAGGCTGTTAGTATAAAACAGGGATGTCACCGTGTGTGTCCTCATGCCACTGTGCCACCACACTGAGGTGTCCTGACACTTATCCTGGGCTCCTCTGTGTCCACAGGTTTGAGCAACTTTCTCCTTGAGCTCCAGGCCTATGTTAGAATTCCAGGAATTACAGAGTAAGGGTATTTGAGTCGCACTGTCTGCGTGCCCAGCCAGAAACGCACGGTCCCCACGGCCCAGCAGGTGGCCCCCAGAGCCCCTTGAATCCGGGCCACCTACACACAGGGTCCCAGCCCCAACTGGCTGGCACAGCCCCCCAGGCTGGAGGGGGGGCCCCGTCCAGATGAGTGCTCCTCGACCCATCAGCGAAGGCGCCCACGAGCAATTGGGTGGAGCCCCGGACCTGCAGGCGCCCAGGCACCTGCCTGCAGCGGATGGCCACAGTCCCCAGCAGGCACATGGCTTCCAAGGGCCCAGGTCACTGGCGCTAAAGTGCTGCGCACAGCCCTTCAAGAGCAGGGCGGATCCTGCCCCAGGGTCACCCCGGCTCTCTGCGCCTTCAAACGTATACAGTGCTTAAAAATTAAAAAGTAAATTTAAACAAACGGGAGTGGGGAGGGAAGGGAACGAAGCCAGAGGCTGGCTTTCTTCCTGGTGCAGCGCGGCTGGCGGTGCCCACGCGCTGAGCCCGTCCCTGTCTCCCCAGCGAAGCGGTACTGCAAGGACGCCAGCCCCAGTGGCAGCACCACCAGCAGCTATGCGCCCAGCAGCAGCAGCAACCTGAGCTGTGGCGGCGGCAGCAGCGCCAGCAGCACCTGCAGCAAGAGCAGCTTCGACTACACGCACGACGTGGAGGCGGCCCACATGGCAGCCACGGCCATCCTCAACCTGTCCACGCGCTGCCGCGAGATGCCACAGAACCTCTCCACCAAGCCACAGGACCTGTGCACCGCACGGGTACGCGGGCCACTGGCGCGGGCTGGGGCTGCGGGGTGCGCTGTGGGCGGGCAGGTGCCCTGGTCACCTTGAAAGCAGCCTGCACGGCACCACTGTCCAAGGAGGGTTCCCGTCTAAATCAGGATTGGTGTGCACACATGGACCCTGCTCTGCAGGGTCCAGGATCATTCATTGAATCTAAAAGGACACTGCATGAGATCACAGAGCTAAGGAGAAATATGCCTTAAAATCAAAGCACAGAAAGGTCTGCTGGCACCAGTGTCAGGTAGAACAGGAGACTGTCCCCAGGAAGGATAGTCCACTAGCCCCATTGTCAAGTAAAACACGGGACTGTCCCTGAACCACACTCCCAGGGGACTGCCCACTGCTTTCCTACTTGCAGGAAATGCAGGAAGCCCAAATCTGACACAGCAGCACTCATTAGTTTAAAACTCCACAGATGCCACAATGGCATGCAATGTTTGTGGAGATTTTCTGGTTTCTATTTTCTTTTTTTTTTTTATTCAGGATATTATCGGGGTATAGACATCTTGGTTGCATGAAATGCATTTGCCTTGCTCAAGCCAGGGCCAAGCATGTCCTTCCCCCATACAGTGCACCCCGTCTCCATCTGTGGGCTCAAGCTGTGGGCTTACCCACCCCCTGTATCCCCCACCCCCACCTGACCGGCACCCAGTGAGTGTTACTACCCTGTGAGCACCTTAATGTGGATCAGTTAGTACCAGTTTGATGGCGAGTACGTGTGGTGCATGTTTTTCCATCCTTGTGATACCTCACTTGGAAGGATGGGCTCAGTCTCTACCCAGGGTAATATAAGCGGTGCAGGAGCAGGAGAGAGAGCTGCCTCCCCAGGGCCACTAGGTGGCCAGACAGAACCTGGGGATGCCGAGCGGCCCCATTGTGTTCGCAGAGCAGCAGGCTGCTCACCTCCCCTGCAGACAAACACAGGCGCTCTCCTTACCTAATGTGCTCCGCCCTGCACCTGAGCTCGCCACGCTGACAGCAGTGGTTATAAACAATTGTAATTTGTAAGAATGGAGTAAGGTCAGTAATCTTACGTTTTGCAAATGCTTTTTCATCTATTGATATTTTTATTCCTAGATATTGGAGAAGTGTCAGGGGCGTGCACCTTTCGTGGCCATCCGGCTGCTGAAATGGGAAACTAGCATGGAGGAAATTCTGTGGCAAGAAATAAAAGATAGAAACCTCTTCCAATTTTTTTTCACTTTCTTAAAATTATAGTAAGACTGAAAGAATAAATCCAACATTATAAAGCCTAAATTAGTATCAAAGCTTCAAACTGGGGCTGCACTTTGACACAGAGAGTTCAGGCAGAATAATACCGTGTAATTTATTAAGGTAACAGCTCCAAGGATGGGGGCTCATCCCAAGCGTCTTCCTTCTGGAGAGGGAAGCAGCCAGACCTCTGGGAGGCAGCAGCTTTCAGGCCAGCTCTGAAATCAAATTTTTTCTCAAGAGAATATAACCCTTTGGGGGAAAATATATAGGATTGTTGGAGGCTTTTCTTACTTTGTGTCCACATGTCCCTCCTCCACCTTCTCCTGAGAGGCAAGCTCTGAATAATTCTTGATCTGTTTCAAAGTATCAATTAAAAAATCTTACCCTGTACCTTTTGGGACTTTTTTTAAAGCCAGTTGACTAAATTGCAGGTTTGCTGAAACTTAGGGTAGGTCAGACCATGATCATTGTAGTAGAGGCATTTTTAACTGTGATTCCACTTCTCCTCCCTTAATATGAAAAATTCTCTTCATCATAAGTTTGCATTAGAAAGTAAATTCTAGTTCCTTCTCTCTCCTTCCTTGAGCCTTTAATTCTATTGTTTTCCTCCTCTCTACTTCTTGAACTATTAGCACCAGTGAAACTAAAGAAGAATTTTTAAGCTGACGTATATACATGTGTGTGTGTACACACATGTATGCACACATATTTTTGATCTGTTAGGTGTTTGACCTGGAAAGAAATTGAAGTTAATCACTGTTATGAATTTTCTTTTGTCCAGGCTCATTTCTAAGAGCACAGATGTAACAGGAAAAAAAGGCAAGAGAGAGACAGAGACAGAGAGGGAGAGAGACAGAGACAGAGACAGGGAGTGGGTGGGGGATAGATAGTAGAGAGAAATAACTGGATGGATGGATGGATGAATCCTCCAACCAGTTTTGCAGCTAAACCTGGGACAGCAGAAATTTCCCAGTGTTCCATGTCCATGCACCTTAGGGACTTAGGTAAATGAGACAGCAGTGAGGAATCCTGTGACTAAGGTCCACACCAGCAAAGGCAGGGCTGCAGTCTGGGGGAGCGCACTGGCAGAGTGCCCCGATCTTGGGCCAAGCCCAGTCACCATGTCTTTCTGCCGACAGAACCCCGACATGGAGGTGGATGAGAACGGGACTCTGGACCTCAGCATGAACAAGCAGAGGCCAAGGGACACCTGCTGCCCCATCCTGACGCCCCTGGAGCCCATGTCCCCCCAGCAGCAGGCGGTGATGGACAGCAGGTGCTTCCAGCTGGGCGAAGGCGACTGCTGGGACCTGCCCGTCGACTACACCAAGATGAAGCCCCGGAGGGTAGACGAGGACGAGGCCAAGGAGATCACTGTAGGTCCTTCCATTGAAACCGACCTGTGTCGGCTGTGGGGCTCTGAAATTGGGCCCCGGGTGGAAGAAAATGCCATTTGCACACAGCCTAAGAGAAAATATATTTTCTCTTTAAATATGACCTTTAGCTAAGACTTAGAAAACATTGTTTTTTACTCAGAAGAGGTTTGTGACAACATTGATTTGCGTGAAACAAACTATTGACTTTTTTAAATGATAAATTTCATTTTCTAACAAGTATGTTTTGTCACAAATGATTTCCCTAAGAAAATATATAAATGGCATACCAGTCCACTTTTTCTCAGTGACCTCTTGACACAATACAGGATTTTTCTTTACAGGTAGAGAATTATTATATATATATATACACACACACATGTATATATAGTATGTATATATATATATATACATACATACATATATATATATAAAATATATACTTCAGTAGTTAACTATGGCTAGTAATTACCTAGCTCTTCGAAGTGAAGGATGGTGTCTCTTCTCTGAGTCTTCTAAAGTGTTTAGAAGACTTTACTCAGCCTTGAATAAATTATTGTAATGCAATCACCTGAATCTTTGTTTACGACACTATTACTAAGACACCTATGCCAAGAACATATTTTTGATGTAGTTACAATTTTCATATTCAAATTATTAAAATATATATAATAGCCCTGAGGCTTTGAAAAGAAAAGAAAAAAATTCTTTATCCAACTGACTTTTTCTTTAGTGTTCAGTTCTGAAAGTCATGACATCTTCTTTATTTCCTACAAAATAAAAAATGTTTGAGTAGGAAAGGGAGATCACCATCAAAGCAGTAGCATCCTGCAGAAACAAGGAAGTGGAAAAGAGAAGCAGGAGCTCCCTGTAGAAACAGGCAGAGGCACCTGCTCACAGCCCATTGTCTTTACCTCCAAGTGGATTAAGTACCACTCACTGTGGTACAGAAGCAAATCTGAGTGGCAAGCTAAATTTCCAAGCATTTTTCCCTTTACTGCAGTGTTAGATCATGACTACAAAATGAGGCATGGCCGTTGAATCTTGGAATTTATTTTAATTTCAATTAAGCCCTCATAAAGCGACAGAGTGTTTTCATGTCGCAGACTGTCCGGGACATCAACCCTCACTGTCCGGCAGGGACTGAGGGGTGCGCTTGCTGAGCGCTGCCATCTGCAGGGACCTTGGGGTCACTGCAGTTGGACACACCCAAAAAGAAAATGCTGCACAAGAAAAATTGAAAGTTACAACACCCATCTAAGTGGGTTTTGCATTGCCTTGAGTCTTAAAAGCACATACCTGTAAAATACTTACCAATGATTGGTAAAAATCCATTCCTAAACTATTTTTAGGAACTGTGCGGGTTGGTGTGGGGTCTTGCTATGACAGCAAGACACAGGTGTTTACCAAGCATGGGATGAGAAGACCAAAGCGAAAGTGGGCTCTCTGGTGGCCGGAACCTTTGTGTGTCCCTGTTGTGAGTGTGGCCAGTGAATATTACACAAGGGCCCTGACCTCTGGCAGGTGACTGTAATTTTAGAAGTTTAGAGCAGGTGATGGGAAGTTCAGTTTGCATTTTCAGAAGGGGCTTTATCAGGTCAAAGATATATAAAATTTTAACTGGGCAGTAGGAAGAGGTGGGGAACGTAGAGACGGCCACCCCAGAGCCACGAGCCACCGTGTCCAGGCTGTGTTGAGTTCCCACCTGTGCGCTGAAGCCCTGCTTTGCCCGCAGCCGGAGGAGCTGGACCCGTTCCAGGAGGCTCTCGAAGAAAGAAGGTACCCGGGGGAGGTGACCGTCCCCAGTCCGAAACCCAAGTACCCTCAGTGCAAGGAGAGCAAGAAGGATTTGATAACGTAAGCATAATGTGAGGTGGAATTGTGACTTTTCTATATTTTCCCATTCTTTGGCTTATTTTTAAAAATCGGATCTGTATATGCCTTGCCGTTGGAGCATGCGACATTCGCAGCACACAGATGTCTCAGGCTGCCGGTCCCGTAGAGTGAGAGCTGACTGTGCACTTGCTTGTCCTAATGATGCTCTGTCGTACGGAGGCGTCATTCCATAATCCTGTGCATTTTGCGGCTTTTCTTCAGGGTGCTTAAATCCCCTTGCAGACATTGCAGCTAAACTGGAAACAATGAAACTTTTTAAAAAGTTTTTTTAAAACATACTTACTATTCTGGCTGTTCTTGTTTTTGTCTGGTGGCAGATGTCCAACTCCGGGGTGTGATGGGAGTGGTCATGTGACTGGTAATTACGCCTCACACAGAAGGTGTGACTTCATTTTTTTCATGGTGGATTCTGTCTTTTCAATTTATTGTTTTCAGCTTACCTCAACAATGCTGTCAAAGTAAAAATGTTGAATTCTGTGTCAACCCTTTAAGTGCTATATGTTGACCTTCAAAAGCATGCTAATTTACGTGTTGTATAATGTCTTTTATTTTCAAATAAACTACCTAAATTTGCTAAATTATTCTTAAATATTTACAGCAAAGAGCATAAACATTTTATATTATTTTTAAACAATTGCATATTAACAGAAACATCTTCTTAAATTTATATTTGAGCATTTTGAGAGTTAAACATACAAAAAATTCAATATACAGCACTTGCCCATTGCTTTTCTGCATTAAACTTTTTAATTTCAGTTTTATGTTGTGTTTGTCCGGGAGCTCAGCCGCTTAGCGGGCACTCACCCGACTCCCTGGCCTGTCTTACAGTCTGTCGGGCTGCCCGCTGGCTGACAAGAGCATCCGGAGCATGCTGGCCACCAGCTCCCAAGAACTCAAGTAAGCTTTGATGGAAATCATTCTCTTTTAAAAATTTCTTCCCTCTGTAGTTCACAAAGAATGATGTGTCATTTGAAAAGAAAGATGTCTGTAACAAAAATGACCTGTACTGTCAGTGCCCGGATCCAGCACCCACAGTTGGGTTCTCAGGATTTTAGCCACTTTCCAAACGGCCCATTCTGCCTTTCTGCCTCACATTTACCTCTGGGTTTTCCGTATCATACCCTTCGGTCTCGAGTTTCCTAGAGCATGAGTGTTTTCAGATGTGCATGCATACAAAAGGGAAATTTTACAGTGACTCACACTTTTAGAAAATGATTGCAATTTAAAGAATCAAAATTGATATTTTTAAAACCAGAAGTTAATATGATTATTTAGAACATAGATACTTAAATAGCACTCATGATAAAAAATCTACCATGATAGCAGCTAATTTGTTAAATGCAATGTGGTCTTAGTTATTAACACGCTTTAGGACAATGACAACTCGCAGTCCAGGGATCCGCACAGCCCTGGTACTCAGCTGCGCAGAGACACACACATCGTTCTAAACTTTACCCCTCTCCTCTATGCCTATAATTTTTAAGAGTAAATTTGGGGAAATGGCAAAACCACCTACATTTATACCACCAGACTGAGGTTTTCCTTCTTTCTACATAGACGCCTGTGTTCAGGCCCTAGTTAGGTTCTGAAAGAAGTCGGTAAAGTCACGGAAAGTGTAAGAACGCCTGCAGACCCCAGTAACGCAGACACTCAGGCAGACACAAGGGGCGGGGTGAGAGCTTCCGCAGCATGGTGAGAACCAAGAGTCCCCAAAGTAGCTGTTTTTAATGATCTGACATAGCTCTCATAATGTCAACTGCTTGGTTTTCATTTTGTGTGCAAAGGCTTTAGTGTCCATGCAAAGAAAATGCTGTTTCCAGCCCGTGTTCAATTCTTTGCCCAGCCATCCTGCCCTGACACCCAGCCCACGAGCACAAGCCAGGCTCTTACTGAGTGCAGGGTTTCATTTCACCCGTGTCATTTTTTGCAGGATCCCTGTCCAAGGCCCTAGAGCCATAGATCACCTGCTCATGTTCAGTGACTTCCTGAACTAGCTCTTGCGTCATGAGACTCTTGGAACTCTCTTCATGGAATGTAAACACCTGGAGGGCTTCCTCTCCCCTAACAGCTGTAAAGTCTGTAGCGTCATCCACAGCAGTGCCTAACGGACAAAGTAGCTCTAGGATCCCAGAACGGACAGCGTTAGCAAGAACAATTCCACCCGCTCTGTGCGGGGATCTTTTTCATGGCTTGAAACCACATTTCCCTCCTGGTCCAAATGTGACTAACTGTACTGGGAACTTGGCCAACACGTCAGAGCATGGCGGCATCCCTTTGAATGTCTTGAGGAGGGCACTTTGCAACAGCCTGGCACATCTCCAGTTCCAGCAGGCGGCTGTGGGCAGGAACGCAGCCTTGCACGGCTGGCATCTGGCCCCGCTTCTCACTGGTCAGTGTCTCAGGCCCCTCCGAGACAGAGACCTCTCCTGAGGGGTCAGCTTTCTTTCTTGCATCCCTTAACACTGGGCTCGAAAGTCTGTGTTGATCTGAGATTCTGAGCAGACTTGCCGTCTCCAGTTCCAGCACTTTCTTCTTGCCTTGCTCCACCGACAGACGGTCGGTGGTCTCACCCTTGGTGTCGCCAGCGGGAGGCCTTGGCTCTTGTCTTCTAGGGTGGGAGAGGGCGCTCAGCCCCCGCCCACACTTTCCCCGCCTGTCCTGCGGGGCCTGTGTCTTCAGAAGGTGGGTGGCCTTGTCCTAATTTGGGGCTGATCTAAAAGCCACACCCATTTCTAGACTTGTCTTTGTAAAACATAAGTCCCATCTTGATTGAGCTTCTCTGGGGAATCCAAACTTAACTTATTTTCTGAAAGGTCCATTTCTATTGATGGATCTTCAAAACTAAAGATTTCAGTTAAACATCTGATGTTTAAATGACCCATCTTTACTTGATACTATGTCTTTCCAAACTGAGGAAACCGTGGGCGGTGATGTTTTTTCCTCACCCCCTTAGCTGGTGGCGCCCTCCATCCTGCTTGGTCCACGGAGCCAGCGCTCTGTCGGCCACTCTCCCATGCGTTGGGCGTGGACCAGCCCCTGTGGCGGTGGCTTTCTTTGGGAGGACTCAGCCATGCGCCTTCTCAGTGTGACGTCCCTTGCACGCGTGCGCGTTTTAAGGCCTGGTCGCTGGCTCCGCAGCAGCTTCCCTGGCTGAGGACGCTCGCGCTCGCTGTCCACTGCTCCGCGCGTCTCTGCTTATTCACAAAGACGCACGTAGAGAGTGGCCCCCATCATCGCAAACGGTTTTCTCTACTAGGCATCAGCTAACAAACAGCACTTTCTGGAAATCTTCTTGTCAATTCCAACACTGAATTTTGATAGCTGGCCATTCACAGGACACTCTTGATCATGGACAAGACACACTCTGCCAGATAAACTCTGGGTCTTGGGTCCTCAAAGCTCTTAGACTTCTGAAATAACACTGTGCTCAGTCCTCGTGTGGAGTAACAAATGTGGGGTATTCTTAAAGGGAAATCAATAACTTCATGTTTAATTATGTATAACATGTAAACTGAAAACGTATTAAAACTTAATGTATACATGGGTCTTGCTCAAACATTGGAACTATTGCTTTTTCTGTCCTCTAGTCCATCTGACGTAGAAAACATAGTTGAGTGGCAGGGAGGTGAGGCTGGGCCGTGAGGGGGAAAAGGGGCCCTGGTGGAGGCACAAGGTGGGGGGGGGGGGCAGCTCAGAGCCCCTGGGCCTCGCAGACTTGCGCATAGATGCTGTGAGGCAGAGTCCCTGCTGCACAGCTCACCCCTCCGGGACCCCCTGCAGGCGCAGGGCCACTGTAGGGATTACCTGCCTGTGACAGTCGTTGAGACCACAGGCCAAAAAGCAAAAGAGAATAGAAGTGTGCAAATTAAAGTGGTTTTTTTGGTGAGAAATCCAGCTAACATGAGCTCTGATTCTAAAGAGATTTGTCTTCTCTTAAAATTTCATTTGCTAAGTTTCCCTGAAAGAAGCAACGTGAAGGGAACTTGCAAATCATATCACATCAGCCTATTTTTTTTTAAGGAACCATATCCTCCCCACCAGGAATTCTTTTTCCTGCTTCCAGATGTGTGCTCACTGGCAGACACGAGGACGATGTAGGTGTCTTAGCCATCTCAGTAACCAATTTAAGCCAAATCAAAACTGATTTCAATCAGAGCCAATTAACTCTTAAAATGGGCCCACAAATTGGCTTTCATTTATACTTTGGTTGGCCAAATTTAGATACCTCCTTATTATTCATATCTTTACCTTATAATACCACAAGTACCGTCATTAATGTAACTCCATTCAGGAGAAGGAATGTTAGACCACTGTGATTTAATCACCATGGGGGTGCTGCTTTTGGTTCCCTGCCCTTTAGAATGTTCTCAGGCATTCTGTAATCTCCATGGACTGGGGCCTGGTTTCTTTAATAGACAGCGAGTTTGCTCATCAGGAGGATGAGTTGCCCTGGGTGTAAATTCAGCTCCTCCAGGACAGAAAGTGGTCGTGAGACTCAGCCAGCACTGGGAGGGGGCTTGCCCCAGGTCTGTCACTTCACGCTTGCTTTCCCAGACTCCTCATTTCAGTAGGAAGGTGGTTTCGTTCTGCAGCTGCCCCGGGTGCCTGGGCGCACCGACGTCTCTGGGCGAGAGGGGGACCCGCAGGTGCAGGGTGCCCGGCCCACAGACCAGTAGGGTGCTTGGAGGTGGACACAGTGCATACACAGGCTGTCGCCCTGAGAGAAAGGCGGGAAGGCACGCACAGACCCAGTTCCTGTGTGTGGGCTCTGAGGCGGCTCACGGAGATGCACAGACCGTAGCGCCAGTGACAAGGCTGGAGCTGAGCTTTCCCACACATCCCACTTACTCTTCGAAGCCACGCTTCCTCAGGTGTCTTGTTTTGTCATCAAGAATCAAGGGTTTGCGTGTAACAAAGCTTAGCTATGGCTATGACCATACACATGCACATACATACAGTGTTTTTCTTGCCACGGCTAGCCTCCTGCAGTTTTCTTGTAATGCACACGGGGAATTAAATGGGGGTCAGCCCAGTGGTGGGTAAACTCCCGCATTACATCACGTCAGGTGGAAACCACTCACTCGCGTTTCTCACAGTCGGCTAGATGCACTTTGAACTTGCTCCAGCAGAGACCAGGTTCTGCCATTTATGTCTCAACATCTGTAAAAGGTTTATAAAGTTTGTACAATAACATTTTGTTTAAATACCCTACAAAACACTGCTTGTTCCAGATATATTCTTATTTTGTCATGAGTAGGGCCAATTTAAAAATAAATTCAATATGGGAAATACAGTTAAGCATAATATATTAATAGTAAAACTTCAAAAATAGAAATATTCAGGGCGACTCCAGTTATACACACACACACACAATGGACCTACAACCAACAATAACCAAAGCTGGCCCCCCAGGTCTCGATTCATTGCCTCCTTGTTGAGGGAGGGAGACCAGGAAAGTCCCTGTCTTCCTTCTGTCCCGACGGGCTCTGTCATTGCCGCAGTGCCCAGAGTGGCCTCCCGGCTCCAACTGGCAGGGCTGCGGGAGGGGAGGGAAGCAGGGGCTGGACGCTGGCCCCAGCGGACCAGGGCCCTTGATGTCTGTTCTCGGAGCAGAGTCCCTGCTCGGGATCCCTCTGAGCTTTAAACCCAGATCATTAAGTGAGTTCCAGGTGTCCACATTTGGGTTTGGGGCTCTATCTTAATTACCTTAAACTAACTATATTCAGACACAAAGCAACCAAAACCAAACTAAACAACAACAAAACTTCATTGTTTAATTAACTCCATAGAGGGATCTGGCATTATAAAACATTTATAAAGTTCTCCGGCAATATTTGAAATGCAATTTAGGTTTGTTTGTTTACAATTCACCCTCCTCAATGTTTTGATTCAGGTTATATTAAAATTCACAATAAAAATCAGACTCAGGTAATTAAAGAAAGGCAATAGGTGGCAGTATTTAAGTTTAATGGTTAAGATACATGATTTTCATGCAGAGATTCTTTGTGCAAAATGAAATAGAGAGCATCAACTTTCTAGAGAGAGGACTGTGCTGTGAATTTCCTCTGTACCTCAGTTTCCTTATCTGTGAAACGGGGTAGGACTGACAGCAGCTCATAGTACACATGCAGTAAATACTGTTGTTAACAGTGGCAGTGTAAGTGTGCCTTGTGAAAATATTAACCAGAACTCAAAGGAGAGAGATATAAGTGTTAATTTAATAATTGCCGAACGACTTTGCATGCTTTGCATCTTCTGTCACAGAAATGAGAACCATAATTCACTCAAAAACATTTTGAGCTTTGGAATACTTTATATCAAGGCCTTTAATTGGAAAAAGCAAAAGCAAAAAACACTGGGAGAGTCACACTTTTAGACTGCCCAGCGTGAAACAGCCTTGACTCCTCCCGAACCTGTGCGGGGCCGCGTGCACTGGGGCGGGTGTCTAAACTCAGGGTTGTAGCTGTGTGTTGTGCCTGTCAAAGCTCCGTTCAGTCCATGCGCTGCATTCAGACCCACGTCAGAAACTGCCCTGGCCGCCTGCGACGGTCTCCCTCTCTGCCTCTTCTGGGAAAGATGGGCCGATTTGGAGACCGCGAAGTTCCCGGGCTTCCCTGGCGAAGCACAAACCGGACAGGGCATTCTCAGAGGGACCCCAAACCGAGCAGTGTTCCGTTCGTTCATTATTCCCAAAATACCTAATCGGTGCCCAGAGACAAGACACAGATTTTGCCTCCCAGGAGCCCTGGTCAGTTGTTCAAAGCAGACCAAAAAGAAATGTGTGTGTGTCTGTCCACCCAGCCGTAGGGGCCTGCATCGTCAGGGACACATGTGGCCTATCTGGATCCTTGAGTGCGGCTTTTTGACGGAACCCAAATTTTACAGAACAAATTTTTTTAATAAAGAGATTTGTTCTGTGAAGTCTGGATTTAGTGGAGGCCACACTTGGGGATCTGGAGGGCCACATGTGGCCCTGAGGCCGCAAGTTCAGCCACGATGAGACACATACAGCCTTACTGAGAGCCAGGGCAGGGGGAGGCGTCTGATAACCAGGGAGGTGCGTGCAGATCCGGGAGGGCGGCTGCAGCTGGCCTGGCAGCGGGTGGAGGAGAGAACTCAGCTCGGGAGCCAGGGCACAGACACGGGGCAGAGAGCTCTGCTGGCCACAGAGGCCTTGGCCAGCTGGGGGCACTGCAGCCCGCAGAACAGCAGGGACTTGATGTTTTCATGCTCCTGAGGACTGGGGACAGTGTCCCAAAGCTCAGTGGGACTGTAAGCAGTGGCCTGGGGTAGTCAGAGCCCAGAGTGTGGACTGCAGGGAGGGGGCTGGGGTAGGGGCTGGGGAGGGCCCTGCCAGAGGGGAACGGGCCCTGCAGAGGGCAGAGACAGGGATGGACCTAGGGACCACTAGGCCAGAGAACAGGGCACCCTGATTCAGGATCAGTCACAGTGGGGAGGGCCCCACAGAGGCCCCGGCTTGGTCTGGGCTGAGTGGCCAGGGCAAGGTGACTGCAGGAAGTGGTTTCCAAACTGGACGGCGCTGTGCCGTGTCTGCGAGAATGTGCCAGAACCTTCCGTGTTCACAGAAGTCTTGGCCAGGCTCCTTCACGGGAGTCAAATCTGTAAATGTTTCCTTTATATCTTATTTTCCATTTTCATGAAAACTAAATGAAACATGATGAATGTAGACAAGATGCCCCATCTACAGTCAGCGAAACCATGAGCGTCTCCTCTAGAAACTTTCTGGTTTCTAGAGGAAACTGAGTCGCTCTGGTCGAGAATTTTACCGTTGGGGTAAACAGTTATTCGGGAGTGGGTGGATTCAGTGCACAGTTGCGTTTTATTTCATCTTAAATCTGCCACACTCACCGGCTTCCCGAATAAATTAATTAGTCTAACCAGGTCCACAGTTCACACCCTAAGCCATTCAAAAAGCAGTTTGCCGGGACTGCGGCATGACAGAACTTAGCGGTAAGAACTCCCAATTCTCCCTGAAGTTGGAGGTTAATTCTAACTCCCAAAGCTAGCTTTATAGGGCTTTTTGCTTTTCGCTGTGACAAACTTTGGGAACTCTTTAGATTTAGAATGAGGTCAAGAGGAAGGCTCGTCTTGTGAAATATTTCCAACCATTCCATTCTCTCGTCTCAAACTTTAATACAGACACCAGAAACTACTGAATGATAGTTTACTTTCAAACAAATAAAAGATTATTTATCATCAAATTAAATATAAAATAATACACCTTATGCAAATAATTTAAAAATGACTCTTTGAATAAATTGATTCTTTTAAACCTTTGATTACTTTTTAAAATATATACACAGCATATTTGATACATGTGAACCAAAAGGAAAATTTATTTTTCTTATATTTTTAAGTACTGAAATTTTAAATGTTTTTAAATATATAATTATTAAACTGTAAATATATGATAAACTTATACACACACTTTTTTTGCTGTTGCTTGGCTAGGATTCAAAGCTGGACATATTTCCTCTCATAAGACATGTTAGACTGAGTTTTCTTCCCGTTTCACTTCTGGTTGAATTCAGCCTCCCCATTTGTTGGGAATTCTGGCCCCGTTTCCTCCCAGTCGTGGCCGCTCTGGGTGATTCGGGGAAATGAGCCCGGGACGGCACACGGCTCCCCTCTGCGCAGACGCCCCTCGCGGGGGGCTGGGAAGCAAGTCTCACCGACGGGGGTCCGGCCAGCAGGGCGAGGCAAGATTGGCCTTTAATTGTAAATTCGAGGTTTTAATCTAGTAAACACTTCACTAATTTATAGTTCCCTGGAGCAAAATGAACGGAATTGGAAATAAAGTGGATGTTCCCGTCGGGAAATTACTGACAAGGATTTTGGAGGGCATTTTTTTCTGGCAGTTTCAGGAAGGAGACTCGTTCTGCTCAGGCTCTGTGCTAAGTGAAGGCCCATGCGGGGCCCTGGGCCTGCGCTGGGGGGGCGGGCAGGAGCAAGAACCCACAGGGTGCATCCCCGGTTTTGGACCCCATGTTCCTTCCTAGACGTGATCTGTGATCTTGGAGGAGTGGCAGTTCAGGGAAATCACATCTCATCTATTCTATTTTTCTGTTGCACTTTTACAGAAAGCGCTGTGCTGGGCACTGGTGGATTACCTTTCACTATGTTTGAAAAGTCTCTGGGTTCTGCAGGTGTGCCTGCCCGGGCCCTGCACCTCCCAGGCCTAACTGTACTTCTCAGGGCCTGGCTATACCTCCCTGGGCTTGGCTGTACCTCCCTAGCCTGGCTGTCTCTCCTGAGGCCCAACTATACCTCCCCTGCCTGACTGTACCTCCCCAGCCTGACTGTACCTCCCAGGGCCTAATTGTACCTCCCCAGCCTGACTGTACCTCCCTAGCCTGGCTGTACCTCCTGGAGCACAACTGTACCTCCCCTGCCTGACTGTATCTCCCCAGCCTGGCTGTCTCTCCTGAGGCCCAACTATACCTCCCCTGCCTGACTGTACCTCCCCAGCCTAACTGTACCTCCCAGGGCCTAATTGTACCTCCCCAGCCTGACTGTACCTCCCTAGCCTGGCTGTACCTCCCCAGCCTAACTGTACCTCCTGGGGCCTGACTGTACCTCCTGGGCACAACTGTACCTCCCCTGCCTGACTGTATCTCCCCAGCCTGGCTGTCTCTCCTGAGGCCCAAGTATACCTCCCTAGCCTGACTGTACCTCCCAGGGCCTGACTGTACCTCCCCTGTCTGACTGTACCTCCCGGGACCTGATTGTACCTCCCTAGCCTGGCTGTACCTCCCCAGCCTGGCTGTACCTCCTGGGGCCCAACTGTACATCCCCTGCCTGACTATAACTCCCAGGGCCTGACTACACCTCCTCAGCCTGACTGTACCTCCCTAGCCTAGCTGTACCTCCCAGGTCCTGACTGTACCTCCCTAGCCTGACTGTACCTCCCTAGCCTGACTGTACCTCCCTAGCCCGACTGTACCTCCCTAGCCTGACTGTACCTCCCAGGACCTGACTGTACCTCCCAGGACCTGACTATACCTCCCTAGCCTGGCTGTACCTCCCAGGTCCTGACTGTACCTCCCTAGCCTGACTATACCTCCCTAGCCTGACTGTATCTCCTGGGGCCCAACTGTACCTCCTCTGCCTGACTGTACCTCTCAGGGCCTGACTGTACCTCCCCATCCTAGCTGTACCCCCAGGTCCAGGCTGTACCTCCCCAGCCTGACTGTACCTCCCCAGCCTGACTGTACCTCCCCAGCCTGACTGTACCTCTCAGGTCCTGACTGTACCTCACCAGCCTGGCTGTACCTCCCCAGCCTGACTGTACCTCCCCAGCCTGGCTGTACCTCCCCAGCCTGGCTGTACCTCCCCAGCCTGACTGTACCTCTCAGGGTCCTGACTGTACCTCCCAGGCCTGACTGTACCTCTCAGGTCCTGACTGTACCTCTCAGGTCCTGACTGTACCTCCCCAGCCTGGCTGTACCTCCCCAGCCTGGCTGTACCTCCCCTGCCTGACTGTACCTCCCCAGCCTGACTGTACCTCCCCAGCCTGACTGTACCTCCCCAGCCTGGCTGTACCTCCCAGGACCTAGCTGTATATCCAGGCCTGTATATCCAGGACTGTACCTTCCAGGCCCGGCTGTCCCTTCTGGTCCTGTCTGGGCTTCCCAGGGCCCGGGGCCTCCCCAGGCTGGTCCCTGAGGCTTCCCGACCTCCCTGCTGCTTTCCTGCCTCTGGACCTGGCCTCACTGAGGGGCCTCCTGGGTCTCTCCTGCTATTCTCACCCCATGCCAGGTCCCTGGGCAAACCCTGTTAGTCCACTAACATGAGCAAGATCCAGAGGCAACATCACCTGAAGGTGACCAGTGGTAGAACAGGCAGAATGATGTGCCTACAGGCTGGCCCTGCCACCCTGTACATGCCCTGTCACCTGGACCTGGGCCGGCTGATTGCTGCAGGGAGGGCAGAGGGAGGACACATACTCTTGGTCCCTGGACCACAGCCTGGTGGAGGAGGGACATGCCACCAGGGAAGCCTGGGTGCCCTCCAGCTGGGCCCAGCCCCTCATGGGCAGTTTGCAGCTGTGTCCCGCAGCAGGGCAGGAGGACTCCAGGTGAGACAGGCAAACAGGGTCTGGCCAGCGCCAGCTGGAAGTAAGCAGAGTCTGAGAATCTTCACTGTCAGAAGATAATCATTAAAATATTTTTAAAGAGCATTTTTAGCCAGGCGTGGTGGCTCACGCCTGTAATCCTAGCACTCTGGGAGGCCAAGGCAGGAGTATCACTTGAGGTCAGGAGTTCGAGACCAGCCTAAGCAAGGAGACCCCATCTCTACTAAAAATATAAATAAAAAAGAAGCCGGGCAACTAAAAATAGAAAAAATTAGCTGGGTATGGTGGTGCACACCTGTAGTGCCAGCTACTCGGGAGACTGAGGCAGGAGGATCACTTGAGCCCAGGAGTTGGAGGTTGCTGTGAGCGAGGCTGATGCCACCCACTCCAGCCCAAGTAACAGAGTGACACTCAGCCTCAAAAAGAAAAAAAAAGCAGGACTTTTCCACACTGTGGCTCACGTAGTCTTCACAAAGCATTAACGGCTAATCTACGGGGCGCGCTTTGCCGATGAGAAACCTAGACATGGAAAAATGACTTTTTTCATGTTCTTTCACTTGAACTCATCCACATCCCACATTTAAGGCTCGTCCTGAGGGAAAACCCGAGTCTGGAGACTGGGTGGGTGGGGGGGGGGGGAGAGAAGAGCGTCTGGTTGTTGCGAACACAGCCGGTGCTGGTGGATCCAGACGTCCCTTGACCCGAGTGGGCAGCCGTTGCCTCTGGCCTCCGCCTCCACGTCCTTCCCTACAGACTCTGGAATGCCCGTGGCTTCTTTCTTGACTGCCAGCTGGTCCCAGCGTCCCCTGCGTCTCTCGCCAGCCCTCTCCGCCTCACGCTGTTTACGAGACGGAAGGTGCCAGGCAGTCAGAACTCTCTGCAGGCACATCCTCAAACAGCTTTGAAGGGACTCTGCTCTCCTGACTTACCAACTATCAGGGAACTCCATGGCCAGATTGCCCGTCTTGTTTGCTGACTTGTTTTAAATTAAATACGTGACGTTTTAGCTCGTTTTCCTCATTTTAGCTGGGCTCACCTGGGTCGGACTCTCTCAGAACTCACAAGAAGGTCTCCACTAACGGCGCTGCTGTGTGCCCGTATGCCTCACTGAGTCTGGGTTCAGTCAAACCTCACGGTCAGGGTAGCGCTGGTGACCTGGCCACGCGCTCTCCGTGTATAGCCAGTTGCTGGCTGTACAGTTGCTGGCTAGGAGGTGCTGGCATTTCTCTAAGATATTTCTCATTTTCCTTCTTTCATATCGTAGAAAGAATTTTTGCCATCAAAAGCGTCCACTTCTAGCTTTTAATTCCATAGGGATATCAAATGGAGTAAGTATTTAAGCTAAATAAAAAGAATAAATTTTTGCTTTTTGTTTTATTGCGAGTATTTAAGATCTATTACTTTTATGTATATATATATATTTCTGTTTAAAAATCTAGTCAGAATATTTAAGTTGCATTAACAAAGACTCCTCCAAGGCCTAGAAACATTTGGAAGCCTGTGGGTGTCTCCACATGGGACGCCAGGCCGTCAGCACGTGGCCCCCAGCCCACCTGCCCACAGCGTCTCGTGGTCTCTGTCTCTCTGTGAAGGCCGAGGCAGGAGGCAGGAGCCCGGAAGAACGGCTACAAGCTCAGACCTCAAAGCCAGACTTCTGGACTGCAAATCCCGGCTTGGCCAACAAGCAGCTGTGTGATCCTAAACAAGTTGCTTAACCTTTCTGGGATCCCCACCTACAAAGTGGGACCCCACTGGCAGCTACTTGACAGGTCTTATAAACAGTAAACGAGCTCCCGTTTGGAAAGTGCTCATGGTAACAGCTGAATAAGCCAGGCAAGCCTTTATCACATGGAAAGACGGAGTCTGAGACAGACCAAAAACCAGCCATGGACAGCATGAGACTGTTTGCAGGAGAGAAAGGGGGTGTCCGGGAAAAGGACATTAGCAAAGTAAAATGTGTCCCAGTTCCAAAAATGAATGAATAAAACTTCTTAAATTCAAAACTCTAATGGCTAAGATTGAAACATTCCAAAGATAAAAGAATTTCATTTTCCTAACGTGTCTTTTTCTTACTTTGCTCTAATATGGCACAATATTAATATACTTTCATCAGACTTGCAAATCAGGTTTAAAATCATCAAATGAAAACGTCCATCAGCCCATCAAACTCACGTTAGATCTCATCCACGCTCACCAGTTTCACTCTGCCCTGATCTGAAGCGTCTTCCCAGCTGGCATGTTTTGATCGTCTTAGTCTCTGTCATTTCTTTGTTTTTCAAACCACCTTGAATTCTGGCTTCGGTTTTCTTGCCTTTTTTGGATGACGTGTGTTAAGATGAGAACATGATAGAAATTGAGACTTTTTAAAAATTTGCTCGTGAATTATCGTGGGTCAGAACACACCCTCCCCAGGGCAGTGAGAGACATGGGGAAACCTGTCTTTTGTTTCCCTTTTTGCGGATTCCAAGCCAGACCAGACCTGGCTTCTTCGGGCAGCTTGTTGCACAACAGATTAGACTTCCACGTTCTCAGGTGCCGGATCGTGACCCCCGCGCGAGGCCATGTGCACATCACCTTGTCGAGCAATGTGTGGTGCTCTATTGTTTGCACAAACAATGCATCTCACGCAAAATCCATTCTGTTCCTGACTTCATGTCCCAGCGATGACCTTCGCTTCAGCTCTAGCTTTGACGTTCACTCTCACCATCAACAGCAACAGTCCTGGCTTAAAATCTAGAGCTCTCGCACACAAGACAGCAGCATCTCATACCTGCAAGCTCTTCAGTTCTTTCAAAATGCCCCGTTACCATGCAATCTACACACCGGTTTGTCCAGCACTTAGTTACCCAGCATCTGCTGTGCCAGGCCCTGGAGTGGCCGTGCCGGGCAGGGGAGCCCACGGAGTCTCTGTCAGGGACACAAGGAACATCTCTCCAGACCAGGGGTCCTCAAACTTTTTAAACGGGGCCAGTTCACGGTCCCTCAGACCGTTGGAGAGCCATCAGAGAGTGCGGCGCACATTCCACACGTGCACGCTGTGGGCCCAGGACGAGTCGGCTGCTAAGCAGGACAGGCAGTGGCAGCAAAAACACCCGGCGGGCCGGAAAAATGTCCTCGGTGGGCTGTAGTTTGAGGACCCCTGTTCCAGACCCTTCCTCCTTTCTGGCTACATGGGCTTCAGCAAGTCACTTAAACTTCCAGAATGTCGGTTTCCTCATCTAGAAACAGCAACAGCGAGATTCACAGTGCGTGGGTTAGATGAGCGCAGGCTTTGCCTGGTGGTCGCAGAACACGGATGTGCGTCAGATTAGAAGCTGCAAATCGAGAAAAACAAGGGGTGCTTGTACCCTCTTTTTCTAGGCGAGGCAACTAGGAGCAGAGACAGAGGAGCTCTCTTGGAATGAGAAAGCGGGTTAGTCATCAGAACACCCTGGAGGTAAATCCTCCAACTGCAGGGCCGAAGCCCCCGTCAGCTCTCGCAGGGACACACCGTCTTGGCACGCCGGGATTCCCAGAGCACTTTTAGGGTTAAAGAAGCTCCCTAAGAAGTAGGGAGGTTTTAATGTAGACATTTAAGTCATTTGATTTTCAATCCTTCAAAGTAATGAATTTCCTGTGAGGTTCCATTACACACATAGGGAAACAGGTCAACGGATTCCGGAGACAGGAAGAACTGCAGGGTGGACAGAGTGTCTCCACCTGCCATGGGCTCTGACTGGTGACTAGCATTCACGGCCTATCCCTCTTGTCCTGTGGGGACCTCACGATGCATCCAAAATCCATGCATCCAAAATCCAAAATCCTTCGCCAACACCAGGCCGTGGCCGAGGGCAGACAGAGCAGCGGGAGGTGAGAGGTCCGAGGCCAGGACATGGCCCGAGCACGGGTGGTGCTGCTGCAGCCGTTCCCACGGGCAGGAAACTGTCCCAGCAGGACAACCGGGCTCTAACGATTTCAGAGCCAATCTTCCATAACTAGAGGAGAAAACAGTATTGATTAACATCTCCAACATGCAGTGGGCTCAGATAAATCACAGAAATAGAAAACATAAATCACATAAAATGTCCTTTTGGAGCTGCACCTAGAGCAGAATGATTCAGAGTTCACCATGGACTTGGCCCAGCTACATCCAGTCTACACGTAAGATGATGCTGGCACCCAGGCCCAGAAGAAAACCTGCCTCCATTGTCCCCAAAAATGGGGTATTTTGCCCCAAAACACCACAGAAGAGAGACACTCGGGACTGAGATAGACTGGGGAAACTTCTGCGAGTTCCCAGCACAAGGAGACTCTGTACCAGGACCCTGCCCGCACCTAGAGCACCACAGCCGTGCTCCCTGCAGGTCCTGCTGCCCGTGCCTGGGACGAGTCACTCACGACTTCCCATGACCCACGCAGGACAGAGAGTCCAGGGAGGAGAATTCCAGAGAAAAGACCAGTGCCCAAGCACCCAGCAGGTTCAAGGACCTAGACTGTTCTTGCCCACCAACATGTGACTTCCAAGTCCACCCAGCTGGGGCACTTGGCCTTTCTGCCAAGCAACCAGTCTCCTCCGCACCATGAACCAATCTCAGTGAACAACCTCAGTGGACAGATGCCGAGTATTCAAATCAGAACCCCCATGAGCCACTGTAAGAACTGACATCGTACAACAGGAAGAATATAATAACCCCCTGCGTGTTCGATTTCTTAGCCCTGAAAAATTGTCTGACCACAGCTCATCAACACTTCAAATGGCCAGTTTGTCCATGCAAGGGATGAAGTCTGTTTATTTTTAATGCACTTTAAATTCGGAGAGCTTATGAAGAACTGGTTTCTTGGCGAGAGAAGGAGAGATTCTGGCGTATAATGAGGCAAAGACCAGCTCCGGATTCAGACAGACTGGCTCACGCACTAGCTGGGCAGCTGCACCCTTACTGGGCTTTTCCCAAAACTCAGTCTTTTTATGTTCAGCACTGAGATGATGGAAAGAACCATCTTCCAAGTCTAAGATCAGGGCTGACTTAGATGGGCAGCTGTTAAGTGCCTCATACTGTGCCTGGCAAGGTGTAGGTGACCACTGTCTGGAACAGACCAGACCAGGAGAAGCCACGGAGCTGAGTCCCGACGGCCACGCTGTCGGTCCTTCCATCCTCAGAGCAGCCTCCTCCCTTCACGAGGAGTCTCCATCCCCTCTGAACCTGCGAGATACATAATGCACGTCGTCACACCACACGCACGCACACGTCCTAACACGGAAGAATGAGCATCGGGGACTCGCTGGCGGGGGGCAGGGGGGAGCGCCAGGCTCAGAGAGCGGGTCCCAGTGCCGCGGGCTGCGCCTCCATACCCTGAACTGCTTGTGAGATGAAAGGTGCAGGCAGTCTGCACCGGCCCCACACACAGAACCCCAGGCCTGTGCGTGTCTCGGTGGAAGCACAAGGCGTGTGGGAAGGAGGGTTACAGGGTTTCGGTCTGTAGTTTGGGACGCAGAGATGCCGACAGGGCCCGGATCAGTGTGACTCAGGCTGTCCCCATGGGTCTGGGCCGACAAAGCCTGGCTGGAGGCGGACCTCCCGGCTCTGGAGGCTCTGCACCGAGGCGGGGGACTGCTGAGCTGCACCCAGGCAGGGCCCCCACCGTGAGGGCATCTCCCCTCCCTCATCAGCTCCCCGCAGCCAAGGAGCTGATCGGCCTTTCATGTCTTCTTCCCGCACGCTACAGAGCTGGCCTGCGCCACAGGGATGAGCAGGGAAGAGGGAGCCTAGCAACCGTGTCTCCATAGCAACTGTCTCCCTCACCCCCTCCTAGCCCCAGGGCAGCCCCTGAGTGCCACAGGGGGGTACACAGAGAAGGCCCTGCAGATGCCCCCCAGCACCAACCTTCAAAGCGCTTCCTGCAGGCTGCTGACACCTGCCCTGCCTTCCGCGGGGAGGGGCGGGGCTCCGGAGACTTGTTCCTCAGCCTGCTAGTAAGACGCGGAGATTAAAGATTGCCGCAGCCCCTGTCTTCGCAGACGTTCCCAAGTACCAAGGCTCCCTTCCTTCCTTCCTTCCTTCCTTCCTTCCTTCTTCCTTCCTTCCTGAAAATCATTCCTGTTCCTCCTTTATAGCTTACATAACAACAAATCATCTTTTAAAATGTGATTCTTTTCCTAAGGAATATATTTTTGATATTATGCAAGTGTAGTTTCTATTAAAATACACTCTGAGACAGACACGTTTTACAGCAATTGTTTTAAAAATCAGAGTCACAGTTGCATCCTATTAAAGGGTCAATAAATAAAAATAGATAGTTTTAATATTTACTTTTACCACAGTCAGCAGACTCCACAACATGTTCTTTTATTTGGAACAGTTTTGGGTACACAAGTTAATGGAGAATAACTAATATAATGAAAGTAATGTGTTAACAATGACCTGAATCTGCATGTTTGCATTAATGAGCATATCTATATTTAATCACCAAGCTTTTACTGCATCCAGACTCCACAGTGAGCAGGAGCTGCAGACCGAGCCGTCAGCAGCACAGTCCTGCTCCCAGGAGAGCAAAGGAGGCACCCCAGGGTCCTCCCCAAAACCACACACACCCGGTGGCCGGGGCCACTTCCCGGGCTCCGCCATTCCCTGATGCCCACTCCTCCTATTCTTCCGCCCCCAAGCGGGTGCGGTGCCCTGGAGGTGAGGACTCTGCTTGGTGATCGGCAGTTCAGGCAACGCTGGCAGATCTTTGTGCCACACTGCCGATGACGGGACGTGCTCTAGACAGGAGGGAACGTGCCAGTGGCTGGAGGGGCCTGCACAGCCCCACTTCCTGCCAGTGCGACACTTCCGTCGCAGCTGTGCCCAAGGTCTTGGGGAAAGGCGTCTGCACTCTGCACCCTCTTCTCCCTGTTCGGGACTTCTCCTCGGCCATGAGGCCGCCTCCCTGGGGCGCCGTGCACTGCCTGCGTGAGCAGGGCCTCGCTGCACCCACCCGCCGTCTCCCTGCAGACAGCGAAGCTCGAGCCACAAGTGGCCCGGCCAGACGCATCTGTGCTGCTCTCACTCTTGGTCCTTTCTTTCAGCGGCCCCTGGGGTCCTGACTTTCCTTTTCTCTCACCTGTGCTGCAAGTAATCTTCCTCATTAGTGGGGCCGTGCCCCTCAGTCTGACCACGTCCTTCTGCCTGGCCTCATCGTCTCCCCACCGAGGCACTGCCATCCGCCTCTGCGGCACTTACCCAGGCTGCTCCCGTCCCATAAATGTTTGCTTTTGCACTTTGTGGTCTGCACCCACAACAGGTGTTTTCCTTACTACCTCCCTGCAGGACACACTGCAGCACGGTGGCCAAATACACCGGTGCCTGGGCTGGACGGCTCCGGTTCCAAGCACACCCCTCCCCTTGGGCAAATCACTGGACATATCTATGCCCGCTTCACCTGGAAACCAGGGGTCGTGGTAGCAGAACCTTGCCTGGGACAGTAAATGGGCAGTTGGAAGGTGGACTAGTAAATACATTCTGAGCATACAATGATTATTGGCTCATCTTGTGGGATTGTCTGATCTACTGGGTGCCTGTGTGGTTAGCATTTAGGAAGAACCGGCTGCTGCTATATCACCTACCTCACAGAATTCACAGGCGTCCTTTCTACCTATGCAGTTTACCTGGGCCCGGTGCAGTCACCTGCACCTCTGGGCAGAAGGCCAGCACCCTCCAGGGAATTTAGCACCTCTCCAGCCTAGCCTGTGTTTTCAAAAAGCAGCTGGAATTGTGTGCACTTTAGTCCTTTAGTCCTGACAAGGACACTGAAATGCTAGTGTGCATCATGTTTCCTACTCTACAAATGCAGAGCTCAGACTCAGCGTGCTCTGAGCCCTGTGCTGAGTGAGGGGTGCAGCTTCAGTTCACACCCAGGTCGCCTCTGCTCCTTCACTGGGCTCCCAGCACCTGCCTCTAAGGCAGTGGGGCCCCTCATGGCCACAGGGAAGGGCGTGGCACTGAGCTGAAGGACACGTCTCAATGGGGGCAGGGTCCACCTTCCCCAGCTTCCCCAAAGCAAGTCCCGAGGCCCCTCCCCCAGCCCAGCGCTTCACACAAACACCTGGGGCCTGGACCTGGCGCAATAGCCCAGGCGGTTGGCATGCCGACTGACTGACACCTGCGTGAGGCCCCTCCCCACTGTCCTCCCCACGAGTGAGGCTGGGGGGCGCAGCTGCTGGGCCCACAGAGCAAGGCCCGGCAGAAGCCCGATGTCAGCAGCAGGTCCCGATCTGGCGGCCGTGGGATGCTCCCCGCACTTCTCAGCGGTCCCAGCCCCCAGGACAGCCCGTCTCTCCTTGGCAGCCACGCAGCCAGAGGTTCTTCCCGAGAGGCACCTCCAGCCCTTGCAAACACTCAGGACAAGGTTCCCTCTGCCTGTCAAATTTTGCCTTCCAGATATTTTAGGGCCGTGACTTTGTTTCCCTTGAATCTTCTCTGAGCTACACAGCCCCAGATGCTGTTTTTTGTCAAGTGGCATGGCTCAAGTCCTTTCACACTGCGGCCACTCTGGGAGTGTGGCCGGGGTGCGCTGTCCCTTCTGTCCATGCAGCCGGCTCCAGAGCCGAGCGCTCATGGCGAGCACGTGAACGGCATCCATGCACACGAATGCCAGACTCTCGGAGTCCTCGCGTCTGAGCGCGGTCTTTCTCATCCTTGTGGGGCCCCACGGTTTGCTCTGCTTGGTTCTTGCAATCCTGTGTTTCTTTTGTTCATTCCGTCTACTTCCTGACTTTGTTCTTCGACTCGTTCCAGACAGAGCAGACTCTGCGCTTCTCTTGCGGGGCCAGGCGGCCTGAGCACCTCGTGCATCCTGTGCTCATGGTCTCGAGGGCCAGGGCCCCGAGCAAACAGCACGTCCCACGCTCAGCTCTCCAGGGTTAGCGATCTTTGGTGGAGGAGCCCAATAGAGAGTCGAGAGCCGGGCAAGCAAATGACCCCATATTCCTCTCTGGGAGGTCATAGCAGGGACGGAGCCCAAGAACGAGCCCCGTCACAGCAGGTCTCCGCCTCTGCATGGGACCACGAGCACTGCAGCCTCCCTGCCTGGCCTCAGCATCGTCCAGTCCCGGGAGCGCGGTTCCCTGGGCAGGGAGTCGGCAGGTCACAGGGCGGCTGGGAAAGGCGCACAGCAGCAGCCGCCTCAGTCCTCTCCCTCCTCTGCTCTCACCCCCAGCTCCTCACTCACAGCTCCTTCCCTGCACACTTGGCGGGTTCCGGGCTTTTCCTTCCTGGAGCACACCTCCGTGCCTGCAGGCCAGACGGGCCACCCGACCGCAATGCCTGGGTGCCCAGTGCCCCTCTGCCCTCGCCTGCCTTTTCTTGGTGGAAGGGAAGTCATGACAGTCAGTGGGCAGTTTGGTTTTCAGAAGCACGTCTAAATACATTTTATTTCACTTTCCTACTGTCTGCTTCACTCCCCTCAATTTTGTAAGACCTGGACAGTCCAGTGGATCAATCAATAGAAAGTGCGTACGAGAGCCAATGGGCCCTTGTGCTTTAAGAGCAAATGCACCTGCCCATAGTCACACGATAGTAGCAGGGAGTGGGAATCATTGGCCATCAGGGAACATTTTGAATAGTCCAGAAGGGTAAAAAGCACTTTTCCTCTAACCCCAGCTTGGCCACACTGTGCAGCCTTAAATGAGGGACAGAGCTGTTTGGATCTGAGTCCTTGCCTGTGAAATAAGGACATTCGATTAATTATTTTTAAAACCTCTTGCACAATTTCTATGAAATCACTTGTAAACTTGACCAGTAAAATAGCTTTGAAATGAGGGGAAAAGGCAGATTTCACAGGAGAAAGGAAGAATATGTACCAATTTTTTTAAATAAGGGATTAGAAGAGGAGAAACTAAGCTCTAAAAAGAAAAGTTTAAAAACAAGAGAATGCACATAAGGCAGGACTGGGAGGAGGAAAGAAAGATGACATCAAGTGGCCCAAAGTGTGATAACCACAACGAATTCCAGGATGACATGGGTTGCAGATGGAATCTTTACATTTCCCTGATTAGACTAAAAGTATTTCTCTAGGAGACCAGATAAGGGCTTCAAAAAATAAAAGATCCACAAACCAGAAAAAAAAAAAAAAGTAGAAAAATAGACTAGAAAAAACAGAGGGAAAAGAACATCACAGATTAGGAGCAACATCCACCTGCAGAGGAAAAGCGTCCGCGCCTCCAGTCTGGCCCCTGCAGCCTCTCCTCCCCGGTCCTGGAGGCCAGCCTCTCCCACGGCCGACCCACGGCCGTGAGCTTTCGGAGACTGGCTTGTTTCTAAACTGGGTAACCCTCCTCCTTCACTTGCTGACAAGGGGCGCTGGCCATCCACGGATCGAGAAGGGAGAACCCCTGCACCCGGGGGCCCTGGCGCCCAGGAGGCCCCGCATACAGCACCCCGCCTCACACCCCATGGAAGCTTCAGTGTCCTTAGATTTGGAAACACAATGTCCGAGGCATGTTCATTGCCCGAGCCTCCCCCCTGCCCTCGAGCCAGGCGTGTGCGTCTGTGTGTGCTGTGAGTGGTGGCCATGCCCGCAGCCGGCCTGGCCGTGGTGGCCGCAGTAGGTCGTGGGTCTCTGTCTCAGGTGCATCCCGCCGGTCATGGCGTGGAGAAGCTGGCACCGTCAGGGCAGCAGCCCTTGCAAAAGCCCCTCCCAGGCCTCTCCTGTCACACCCTAGTCAGTAAGCCTCGGGACCAGGCCACTCAGCCCCTTTGATTACTTACCATTACGGACCAACTGGGTATGGTCACAAATGCCCTGTCAGGCTTAGGGGCACAGTGCCTATGTCAAGAGTGATGCAGGGACGCCCAGTCTTGCACAGCTCAACCCCGTCCCCACAACCGGTAAGGAACTCCTGGCAACACCCTCCGTAGATGCCTGGGCAGTCTTGTGTCTCTCACTTCCATAAGTGGCACTAGCTGCCTTAGAGCTCAGGGTAGCCAACCAAAGGTGAGTACCCGTCCTGCGGCCCCAGGGCCCCCTCGGAGCCCAGCGT